ATAAATAATATTAAATCACGTTTCGATTGCAACACGAGCAATCATCATGCATAGCCTCCTGGCATATCTACCTCTTTAGTATAAATGTTCTTGCTGTGGTGTTCACACCTGATGATGATTGCTTGTGTTGCAATGGAAACGTCGTGATTTAATTTGATTAATTTTTTATCTTTCATTTTATTTTTATTTATTATTTTCTTTACCTATGTTACTTTACCGAAAGAACCAAGAGCATGGAATTTACGTCTCATATATTTTCAGAAGTGTTGTCCCACGTTTGGAACAGGCTGCTGATCCCCCAATAAACATACTGTAGGACAAGGTTTGTTCAATGTTGGGCCAACGTTGCATGCTTACTGGGCCCGCATCATCATCATCATCAACACGTCACAATGGGTGGTGTCACGTGACAAATGACAGGTGCGTGTGTGAATAATAAAAAAACTTCAATATGTTTATTCCATTCGAGGAAAGTGGTTGCCCTATGTGAATCCAATTCATCTGGCTCATTAAGGATTGCTTCGTGACGTTATATATTAAGGACCACCGCCTCGCATTCTCGTGCATTGCGGCTCTTGAATTATGGAGGGTTTTTTGTTGGTCTTCTTGGTTCTTTCGGTAAAGTAACGTAGAAGGGAAAAAAATAATAATAAAATTCTCACGACGTTTCGGCCACAACACAAGCAGCCGTCCTCGGGTGAAGAAACAGAGCTGTTTCTGAAACAGAGCTGTTTCTTCACCTGAGGACAGCCTCTTTCCGACAGCTCTGTTTCTTCACCCGAGGACGGCTGCTTGTGTTGTGGCCGAAACGTCGTGAGAATTTTTATTTTATTATGTTTTTTTAATTATTTCCCTTCTACGTGACTTTACCGAAAGAACCAAGAAGATGAATCCCTGCAGTCACGAAAGCTTTAAATCGAATTTTTTTGTTTATTTTACCGAATTCTAATAAAATTATCTTCTTATGTTGGTTGCCTGCTACTTACTGCCCGACGCAAAGACCCAGCCCCGAAAAAAACGTAACAATTCCACCACTTGCTCTCGCGGAATGGAATTCTCTAGTTCAATCCCAATTAAAGATCTGAATATATAACAATAAAACAGATCCCGCAGTAGTCAATCCCGTTGCGCTACGAACCTGGCCAAGCCAGAGTTCCATTCCCGGCCACGGCTACAAGTGAGATCGGTGGTCGCCTCGGTCGGCTCAGCCTCCAAATGATGAGTGCCCGATGGGGGGGGGGGGGGTTAAACATCAGCACTAAGGGGGCATTTCAGGCGGGCAGGTTTGTCGTTGAACCACACCTTGAGCAATAACCCACACGAACAACCGTGCCACGACAGTTTCTTGAAGATTACAACGGGGGATTTGTCTCTATTGTGTGTCAGTAGCAAGCGCCGAAAGCGGTACTTCTCAAACTTTTTTGGTTACTCTGTTGACCTCCTCCCCGCTGATCTAAATCCACCTGGCAGGAACAGTTCTGTATTCAAAATGTAGCAAATTATTTGGTGATGCTGCTTTTCGCGGCGGGGCACAAGCACAAATAACAAAAAAATGGACAAAACCTCAACGAATTCGTCAATAAAACTGCCGTAAAAGTTAATAAAAACAACGTTTCGGGAAATGCCCCATTGTCAGAGAACATGAAATCAATTGCCGTGACAGATGGGCCAATCGCTAATGATGTTTGTGCTACGAAGGACCATTGCCTGCAACGTTGGCCATTATATATTTTAAGGCAGTGTTGTTGATGAAAGCGTTACACGTTTTGGGAGGTATATATTTCGTGTGTGTATCTATGTCAGTCGTAGTTATTTTTGAGCAGTGCGTATGGGTGTGTCCATCAGCAGTGTGTGTGGTGTGTCTGTCAGCAGTGTGTGTGTGGTGTGTCTGTCAGCAGTGTGTGTGTCTGTCAGCAGTGTGTGTGTCTGTCAGCTGTGTGTGTGGTGTGTCTGTCAGCTGTGTGTGTGGTGTGTCAGCTGTGTGTGGTGTGTCTGTCAGCTGTGTGTGTGGTGTGTCAGCAGTGTGTGTGGTGTGTCTGTCAGCTGTGTGTGTGGTGTGTCTGTCAGCTGTGTGTGTGTCTGTCAGCTGTGTGTGGTGTGTCTGTCAGCTGTGTGTGGTGTGTCTGTCAGTGTGTGGTGTGTCAGCAGTGTGTGTGTGTGTGTCTGTCAGCAGTGTGTGTGGTGTGTCTGTCAGCAGTGTGTGGTGTGTCTGTCAGTGTGTGGTGTGTCTGTCAGCAGTGTGTGTGGTGTGTCTGTCAGCAGTGTGTGTGGTGTGTCTGTCATCAGTGTGTGGTGTGTCTGTCAGCTGTGTGCGGTATCAATAAGGGTGGGGGTGAGCCCGAAGTAATAAGTTAAATGGGTTGCGTAAACATCAGAACTTGGGGAGACAAAGGCGGCCGGGCGCGGTGCATTCCACCCCACCCCTTTGCAACGACAGTCTGTTAAAAATGCTACACGTGTGTGTAATGAGTTGTAAGTAATGAGGCTGTAGTATCTTAAGTAATGAGGCTGTAGTACGAGTCGTGTGTGTGTGTCGTGTGAGCTGTGGTGGAGGTTGTAGTTTGTCTGAGTGGTGTGTGTGGATTGTGCGCTGTTCGTGATGCGGTTGTAGTAGGGGTGCGGCGTGAGTTGCCATGAGGCTGTTGGGCACGTGGTGTAGCTGTGGTGAGGCTGTAGTCTGTGTGGTGTAGCTGTCAGGTTGTAGTCTGTGTGGTGTAGCTGTGGTGAGGCTGTAGTCTGTGTGGTGTAGCTGTGGTGAGGCTGTAGTCTGTGTGGTGTAGCTGTCAGGCTGTAGTCTGTGTGGTGTAGCTGTGGTGAGGCTGTAGTCTGTGTGGTGTAGCTGTAGTGAGGCTGTAGTCTGTGTGGTGTAGCTGTGATGAGACTGTAGTCTGTGTCTGTAGGTGACGAGGCTGTAGTCTGTGTGATGTAGCTGTAGTGAAGCTGTAGTCTGTGTGGTGTAACTGTCAGGCTGTAGTCTGTGTGGTGTAGCTGTAGTGAGGCTGTAGTCTGTGTGGTGTAGCTGTCAGGCTGTAGTCTGTGTGGTGTAGGTGTAGTGAGACTGTAGTCTGTGTGGTGTAGCTGTAGTGAGGCTGTAGTCTGTGTGGTGTAGCTGTCAGGCTGTAGTCTGTGTGGTGTAGCTGTCAGGCTGTAGTCTGTGCGGTGTAGCTGCGGTGAGGCTGTAGTCTGTGTGGTGTAGCTGTAGTCAGGCTGTAGTCTGTGTGGTGTAGCTGCGCTGAGGCTGTAGTCTGTGTGGTGTAGCTGCGGTGAGGCTGTAGTCTGTGTGGTGTAGCTGTCAGGCTGCAGTCTGTGTGGTGTAGCTGTGGTGAGGCTGTAGTCTGTGTGGTGTAGCTGTAGTGAGGCTGTAGTCTGTGTGGTGTAGCTGTCAGGCTGTAGTCTGTGTGGTGTAGCTGTCAGGCTGTAGTCTGTGCGGTGTAGCTGCGGTGAGGCTGTAGTCTGTGTGGTGTAGCTGTCAGGCTGTAGTCTGTGTCTGTAGGTGACGAGGCTGTGGTCTGTGTGGTGTAGCTGTCAGGCTGTAGTCTGTGTCTGTAGGTGACGAGGCTGTGGTCTGTGTGGTGTAGCTGTCAGGCTGTAGTCTGTAGGTGACGAGGCTGTAGTCTGTGTCTGTAGGTGACGAGGCTGTGGTCTGTGTGGTGTAGCTGTCAGGCTGTAGTCTGTAGGTGACGAGGCTGTAGTCTGTGTCTGTAGGTGACGAGGCTGTGGTCTGTGTAGTGTAGCTGTCAGGCTGTAGTCTGTAGGTGACGAGGCTGTAGTCTGTGTCTGTAGGTGACGAGGCTGTGGTCTGTGTGGTGTAGCTGTCAGGCTGTAGTCTGTAGGTGACGAGGCTATAGTCTGTCTGTAGGTGACGAGGCTGTGGTCTGTGTGGTGTAGCTGTCAGGCTGTAGTCTGTAGGTGACAAGGCTGTAGTCTGTCTGTAGGTGACGAGGCTGTGGTCTGTGTGGTGTAGCTGTCAGGCTGTAGTCTGTCTGTAGGTGACGAGGCTGTAGTCTGTCTGTAGGTGACGAGGCTGTGGTCTGTGTGGTGTAGCTGTCAGGCTGTAGTCTGTCTGTAGGTGACGAGGCTGTAGTCTGTCTGTAGGTGACGAGGCTGTGGTCTGTGTGGTGTAGCTGTCAGACTGTAGTCTGTCTGTAGGTGACGAGGCTGTGGTCTGTGTGGTGTAGCTGTCAGGCTGTAGTCTGTCTGTAGGTGACGAGGCTGTAGTCTGTCTGTAGGTGACGAGGCTGTAGTCTGTCTGTAGGTGACGAGGCTGTAGTCTGTCTGTAGGTGACGAGGCTGTAGTCTGTCTGTAGGTGACGAGGCTGTAGTCTGTCTGTAGGTGACGAGGCTGTAGTCTGTCTGTAGGTGACGAGGCTGTAGTCTGTCTGTAGGTGACGAGGCTGTAGTCTGTCTGTAGGTGACGAGGCTGTAGTCTGTCTGTAGGTGACGAGGCTGTAGTCTGTCTGTAGGTGACGAGGCTGTAGTCTGTCTGTAGGTGACGAGGCTGTAGTCTGTCTGTAGGTGACGAGGCTGTGGTCTGTCTGTAGGTGACGAGGCCGGCGCTAAAGCGGAACGACCCCGTGGAGGGGGGGCGCCTTCTCCTCGTCCCCTCCTCTGCGTGACGCCTCCCACCCCCACCACCCCCCCACCACCACCCCCCCCTCTACCACCCTCACCACCCCCCCACCACCCCCACCACCCCCCCACTCCCACCACCCCCCCTACCTCCCCCTCCACCACCCCCACTCCCACCACCCCCATCCACCACCCCTCCACCACCCCCATCCACCACCCCCTCCACCACCCCCACTCCCACCACCACCCCCCCCACCACTCCCCCCACCACCACATCCTCCCCACTCCCCCCCCCACACCACCACCCCCCTCACCCCCCCCCCTCACCACCCCCCCACCACCCTCCCACCCTTCCTCCACCCCCCCCCGCCACCACACCCCCCCAACCCCACCCCCCACCACCTCCACCACCCCCCCACCCCCCGCCCTGATGGCAGCAGCAGCAGCCGCCTGCAGCTAACGGCGCCGCCGCCGCCGCGACGGGGCGAGCGCCGCGTTCCCGACGTCCGCAGAAGGCCGCGTGCCGAACCCATTCGCTCGAGCACCGCGGAGGAGGCGGCGGCGGCGGCTATCTTCTCTATAGGGCGTCCATTTAGAGAGGTGTTGGTGGAGTAGGAGGAGGAGGAGAAGGAGGTTGTCTGGAGAGGGGAAGGGAGAGTTCGCGGCGGAGGACGACGAGGACGATGGAGTTGACCGCCGCTTGACCGCGTCCCGCAACGCGCCCACGACTTGGCACGAGGAGCCGGCGGCGGCTGTGGTGGCTGAGGGGGTGACGGTGGTGGAGGCTGAGGGGGTGACGGCGGCTGTGGTGGCTGAGGGGGTGACGGTGGTGGTGGTGGAGGAGGCTGAGGGGGTGACGACGGTGGTGGAGGTGTCTGAGGGGGTGACGGTGACGGCGGCGTGAGGAGGAGAGAGGTAAAAATAACACGCGCGGGGCACTGCAGCGGTGGTTGTTGTCGTTGTTGTTGTCGGTCGTGGCGACGAGCTGCTGATCTGCTGCTCAGCGTCGTCTTCGTCGTCGTCGTCTTCTTCGTGTCTGATGTTGTAGCTGTTGTCGAGCTACTGAGCACCACCATTGATATCGCCGGCGTCATCGTTAACTATAACAACCAGCACCACCACCACCATCGTTACCAACTATAACCACCACCAGCACCATCATCGTTAATAACTATAACCACCACCAGCACCACCATCATCGTTAACAACTATGACCACCACCAGCACCACCACCAGCACCACCACCGTTAACAACTATAACCACCACCACCATCATCATCGTTAACAACTATAACAACCACCACCACCCTCATCGTTAACAACTATAACCACCACCAGCACCACCACCGGCACCACCACCATCATCGTTAACAACTATAACCACCACCACCATCGTAAACAACTATAACCACCACCACCATTGTTACCAACTATAACCACCACCACCCTCATCGTTAACAACTATAACCAGCACCACCATCATCGTTAACAACTATCACCACCACCACCACCTCCATCGTTACCAACTATCACCACCACCACCACCATCATCGTTAACAACTATAACCACCACCATAATCGTTAACAACTATAACCACCACCACCACCAGCACCACCGTCAACATCACGAGCATCAACCAGAACTGCTGCACTACCGCCACCACCATCATCATAACCAAACATCACCGTTGTCGTTATCAAAGCGAAAAGTGCGGCACCGCTTTGCATCATCACCAAAAGCATAACATCCACCGCCATCAACTATTATCACCGTCACTGTAACCACAACCATCTCCACCGCCAACACTGGAACGAGGATAACGTTTTGTTCATTGCCGCAACTAAAGCATCACCATAACCCAAGCATCACCATAACCCAAGCATCACCATAACCCATGCATCACCATAACCCAAGCATCACCATAACCCATGCATCACCATAACCCAAGCATCACCATAACCCAACCATCACCATACCCCAACCATCACCATAACCCAAGCATCACCATAACCCATGCATCACCATAACCCAAGCATCACCATAACCCAACCATCACCATACCCCAACCATCATAACCCAAGCATCACCATAACCCAAGCATCACCATAACCCAAGCATCACCATAACCCAAGCATCACCATAACCCAAGCATCACCATAACCCATGCATCACCATAACCCATGCATCACCATAACCCAACCATCACCATAACCCAAGCATCACCATAACCCAAGCATCACCATAACCCATGCATCACCATAACCCAACCATCACCATAACCCAACCATCACCATAACCCAACCATCACCATAACCCAAGCATCACCATAACCCAAGCATCACCATAACCCAAGCATCACCATAACCCAACCATCACCATAACCCAAGCATCACCACACCACCACCACCGCATCCACTGTCACACTTCCACCGATCACGGCCGTCAACCCCATTGCCTTGTCTGCCGGCAGCAGGGACGAAGGAGACCTGGAGAAGTATCTGCTGACGAGTGGGGAGTCCGCAATGGACGAGAAGCTCAAGATGCCGGGCTCCCCTCTCGACAAGAGCCCAGAGGAGCTGGGTGCCCTGGACGTGTACGACATCGCGGCGCTCCTGGGACGCGGCTTCGAGAGGGCCTTGGCGGCTGGGACCGAGGGCGGAGAGGTGAAGTGGTTCTCAAATGCCACCATCTCTCACGCCACAACCAGTTGTGGTGATGGTGGTGGTGATAGTGGTGAACCAGTATTCCCAAAATGTGTGCATGCAATGTTTGGATTTTGGCTAGTCCCTAACCCTACAGCGGTTGTTCCTTTTTCGCAAATCAAACCAGCGGCAATCGGCTTACGTCTTATCAAAACTGTAATAACCCTCGTAAGTTACATCATGGGACTTCGTTTGCCAGTACCAAAATATACTAATAGGGTTTTTCCCTCTTTTTTTTTCTGGCAACAAAACTGACACCTTTTGCAAGGAATCATGCTTACATTAACCACAATACTTGCAGTCAAATGCAAACAAAAAACAATACTCTGATAATTTATGCATTGTCTTTGAAACTGATTGGCCCACACCAGAGACAGCTTTCTTTAGAGCCTAGTCTCATATGGTGTTCGACCAGATGACGCCTTTAATGTAAGCATGATTCCTTGCAAAAGGTGTCAGTTTTGTTGCCAGAAACAAAGGGGAAAAACCCTATTAGTATAACCCTCGTAAGGTTCAGCGTACTAATAATAGCACCAGATCTCGGTACAAATCAATACGTGCCACCGCCACGAACATAATGACAATTGCCGATGGTGGGTAACAAAGTGTCTTGAAGTAATATCCTCGGCTACAGCCACAGTAAACTAATGTTCAACTTCTAAAAACGTAAATACATATATCTGGCATCACCGCAGCTCCACCTCCTATCTCCCACCTTTTGATCTCCACTTGCAAATATGGAGCACTGCACATGTTGTCTACTCACGAGGCATTCATAAAAAAGTGTAAATGGTACTCTTAGTTCTTTCGGTAAAGTCACGTAGGTAAAAAATGAAAAAAAAAATCACGACGTTTCGGAGGCAACACAAGTCTCTGTCATCAGGTGGGACCGTCACACCTGATGACGGAGACTTGTGTTGCCTCCGAAACGTCGTGATTTTTATTTTATTTTTATTAATTTTAATTTCATTTTTTACCTACGTGACTTTACCGAAAGAACTAAGAGTATGAATCCTTGCAGTCACCACGAAAGCTTCAAATCTAGTGTAAATGGTGCTTGCTTGGCACTAAATATGAAACCTGACCCCAATCTCGATTCCATAGCAGTGGTCGGTTCCATAAAGCAACTCGATTAACACTTTCCCTTGGTGTGCTATTTAAAGTAGTCAAGGTAAAAGTGTGAACTTGTAGAAGGGCCTCCAATCGAGGGAGATGAGGTGGGAGCCCCCTTCTCTTCTATAAGGGTAAATTGACCTATTTGTCCACGCTATTTAAAGTACTGTTGTACCGAGGGGAGAAATCCACTTAATATATGTTATTGCGGCTTGCCAAAAAAAAAAACCTATAAACACAAGCCGTAGCCTTGAGGGAAATAACCCAAATAGTTGAACTGTATATCTTGTACATACACACTCAGGTTGAACAGTATGACTTCATTAGGATAGAAAAAGCCTTTATAAATGACAGGAGAGCACGCAATTATGGTATATCAATGATATCACTAGTGTGATTTATACGTGTTAATACAGCTATTTATTTACATCACGGAACATTGGGAGCTTTAAACTAATGTCTTACAGTTTGGAACACTACTGTACTGTATTTAGTTTTAACTACATCAATAATCCTAACAGCTATACTATCTTCTTGGTTCTTTCGGTAAACTCACGTAGAAGAGAAGTAATAAAATAATAAAAATAAAACATAATAGAATAATATTCTTTTATTACTTCTCTTCTACGTGACTTTACCGAAAGAACCAAGAAGATGAATCCCTGCAGTCACGAAAGCTTTAAATCGAAACAGCTATACTAGTGCTCAATCTATTCTAACAGTATATAGTAGTCATTTGAACCACAGTGCAAACTCAAACTTTTATCCCAACTCAAACTCTAGCCTTAACTTGACCGATGGATTTTCTGGAGCCCAAACGCCGTCTATAGCTCAGCCCTCAATGTAACCTTTGCCCTCATCCTCCCACTAATCATAGCCATTATTTTGACCCTTGCTCCAATACTATCACTAGCCCTGATCACCAGTCTCACTCTAATCCGAACTCTAATCCTATTTCCCCCATGTTAAGATTTAGATCAGTTTTCACTTTCAGTGCTCGGACAGAAACACATTAACGTTATCAAATGATGTGGACCTTGGTGACGATACGTACAGGGTGGCCCGAAAAGATAGTTTACTGAGATAAATGTGCATTGTTATTAATGTTTTAACATCAACATGCATTTGTCAAAATGTGAATGCACATTTTTCTGAAATGTATACAAATTAAGCTAAAGTAAGTTTTGAAATAGTTTGTTATTCTACACACTTTTTAATGTGTTCTACAAACAGAATATTGTTTTCATGCACTTTTCAAACAATTACAAAATGCATTATTACATGCAGGATGCTCTGTATGCATTACAAGTGTAATAATGTATTCTAATCTGTGAATCAATGCATATTTCTATTTGATCGTACTGTATCTAAAATATTAGATGCTTGTTTTGTTTTAGTTACGTCTTGAAGACATTTACAGTACTTCAAAGGGTCCGTTCTGATGGACAGGTGGCACGTGAGGCAGTGCACGAGCTGATGGCGCCTGTGATCCGCGTGCTGGAAATGCTGGAGGCTCTGGCTGTTCGGAACGGAGCAGACACCGAGTCTACTACGCTGCGAGAGCAACTCGAGTCGGCCAAGAGAGAAACCATTACGCTGTCCGCGAGGGACTCCCGGCACAAGCAGGTACATTGGGCACGCTCGGTCCAGACTGTACTCTTGGCCCCATGGGCATGGTAAAGAAAGGAGCATTGTACGTCAATGTGTCTCGAACGAGTATTGTGTGGCTATCATCATCACCAGCCATGACCAATACACTGACGGATGAAGGCATCTCCGAAACTGTCGCCATCTCTCAAATGTGTTACTCAACATTTATTGTCGATCGTAAACCAGTGGATAAATTTCCATATTATGTTGGCTGCCTACATAGTGGTACTTATTTAAAATACCCGAGAGGAATGATGGGCTGAGTCAACATCTGATGGGGATTTTAAACGTACCAGCTTTTGATTGTGAGTTGGGTGTTCTGCTACAGCATCACCTAGCCCAATCTATTCCTATTCTTAGGTTTTTTCGGTAAAGTCACGTAGGTAAATAATTAAAATTAAAATTAATACAGCTGTCGGGCTGTGACGGTTCCATCTGAAGACGGAAGCTTGTGTTGCCTCCGAAACGTCGTGATTTTAATTTTACTTTTATTAATTTAAATTTAAATTTTTTACCTACGTGACTTTACCGAAAAAACCTAAGAATATGAATTCTTGCAGTCACGAAAACTTCAAATCTAGAATCAATCTATTCCTAATTGTATAATTCGTTGTAAGTTTCCACAACAATGGAACAGAGAAAGAAATTACACCTACTTCATGAATTAATGGAATATAAACTGCTGATTGGTAAAAGCTAGAAACTTGTCACTGGATCCCACAGATACTAAATTAATACCTTGTGGAATTCCACGGGGTACATATGTTTGCCACGTGCCAATGCTGAAGTTGAGCATGAATGTCTCGTGCTGTATACGGATCACTGCAAGCGAGTTCCTTGGTGGCAATGTTTTTACAGTAACAGTAGCCAAGAACGAAAGGGCATTTGTAGATGGCAGATAGCTGCAGACAATATGAAACTCGGGCTAATATGTTTTTCTTTCCATCTCAGATGGGATTGATGATAAAGACTACTTGACCTTCAGATGAAGCCCTTTTGTGGCAAGTGGCTCTAATATCATCGGCGTGTGTGCGAGGGATAGGTGTCAAGATGGGCACCAGAATCTGGGTCAGTGATGTGGGCTTTGGTTTAGCGCTTGGAAAATAAATGTGGAAACATCACTGAAACATGCTGACGTTTAGTAATTCTGTATTCAGTGAGCTGCTCGCATTTCTTAAGTTAAATTATTCTAATTGACCTTTTGTTGGTGTTTGTTCTTTTTGGCGAGCTCAAGTACAGCTTTTTGAAATTTAAAAAACGATCAATCATTGCATTTTACTTAAATTATGACGTGAAAGGATATATATTTTTTTCCAATTGCATTCTGAAAAGAATACGCCTTTTTTTTTGTTTTATCCTAAACATTTCATGAAACGTTGAAGATGGGCCGGTACTTTTTTGCAATTATGACATTGCCAAAACTTTGATTTGCAACCTAGATAACACTAGAGATACAACAATTGACTTTTGACATAATCCATTCTCTAGCGTTTACTCATTAATTAAGCAAATCAACTGTCAGCACATATTGTGGACGTAATTGGCATAAATGTATAATTTATCTACCAACAGAAATCGATTTCTTCTTGACACATCCTTGGCATTACCAGCTTGGGCATAACCAGATTTGATGCTCTCTGGAATTCTGTGGCTGGATGTCATCATGCAATCACGATTTACTCACTCGTTTTGATGTCATGAGCCTCGATGATACTGGGCACGACACAACTCAATGCGGCGTGAGCCATTCCCAGTGCAGGCAGCCGAGGGCTTCTGGTTTGACGAATGTGTGGTTTACTGTGCCAAAAACAGCCTCGGATGCTATAAGTTAAAATTTTCATTATGTTCAACCAAGCCTAATGGTTCAAAACCACAGCCTTGTCTCATCTTTTGGCAAACCTGTCGATTAATCTATCACATGCCGCATATAGTTGCTCTTGCGTGGATTTGTGGCTAATTCATTACTAGAGAGTTGCAATGTGTTTGTCACTGTTGCGTTAGTTAGACTGACCACGTGTGTAATGTTATTGTCTTTACCGCATTGTAAAAGTTCGCCGCACTGTTTGAGGTGTTTATTGAGGTACAGTATAGCATTTCCTGAAATGATTGTAGGCAGACCAGTGGTTAAGTTTGAGGTTGTGATCAATGTAGTGATGTATTATCTATATTCTATATATGTATATAAAAGGGAAATTTGTGATTATGTGTGTCTGTTCAACATGTTTCGCGTACTTCCCGACATGCAACAAACTTGAAATTTGCCATGTGGGTACTTTCCAGACTGTACACGAACCCGGCGACCCGAGTTCGATTCCCGCTCACGGCCACCACCGGTGACGATTATTACAACCGGTCATGGGCCTCCCCTAGGTCGACTCAGCCTCAAACGAGTAACTGCTGTGGTGTGTGAACATCGCCACTGGGGAGACAAAGGCGGCCGGGCGTGGTCAATCCAAGTCCCGGGCGAAGCCGGGTAGTAGAGCTAGTATATTATATAAGAGGTTTCTTGAAGAAAATGTATAAAATGGCATATGGAGGCCTGTGCGTCAACTTAGGATCACTCGACAACACACTGTATCTCACCTCTCGTATGGGAAACAATGGATTATCTCTTGTAGGGTGAGATCTCGATCCACTGCTTAATGTGACTATACTTCACCATGCTGGTCAGTGCTGATTAATGTAGTGATGAGCCCAGGACCAGTTAATTTATCACTTGCCACTATTGTTAGCCACAGCAGGAAATCTTACTCAGATCGCCAGGTTCGTAGTACGGTGCGCTAACCACTGCACCGCTGCGCCTCCTAAATAGATTACTTTTGCTAGAAAAACATGAAATTCTCCATGTCTTGTAGGAACGTAGGAATATTCAGTGTGGGTTTCAGATCTGTGACAATGAAGTTTCATTTTTCGATTTAAAGCTTACGTGACTGCAGGGATTCATATTCTTGGTTCTTTCGGTAAAGTCACGTAGAAGGGAAATAATAAAAGAATAAAGATAAAACATAATAAAATAAAATTCTCACGACGTTTCGGCCACAACGCAAGCAGCCGTCCTCAGGTGAAGAACAGGTCTGTCCTTAGAACGCTGTCTTTCCGACAGCTTGGAAATATTGACCCCCACGATGGGAATGTGGAATTTCCACCACGGGCTGAGGGCCACCAATGGAGATGAGTGCCACCCAATGCTCATCTGAGCAAGGACACACTTAGTCCGAATGTCGAATGAGACAATACTGCATTGACAAGTGGAAGACAACCTAATGTCACCACACTATGAAACTCGTTACTTTGGATGCAACACAGTTAGGTGGTAGGGACCCGAGGATTTCACCCTAGAGACCTTTGCTGGTGTGAATTGTCATAACACTGTTAACAAGCATCGTCAATTGTGTCTGAGCCAGAGTGTCCAGTGACCTAATTAACCTCCCCGTGGACCCGTGGAGGCTGTGTTCACTGTGGCACATGGTTACCTGGTAAACACACCACAGTGTTTACAGGCCATGGCCACCGGCCTGTATCAGGCTATTCATCAGTCCCTGTTTTAACTGTCTTTAAGCATATTGAGACCTCTCTAAAGAAAAAAATTATTACAAAAAATATAAATTGGTGTTTTATGAAAGTGTACATTTTTGTTGGGATGCTGCCTTGTTTATAGATATATTTCATAAATAATAATTTACAGCCATATGATAATTTACTGCCAGATGAAGACCTCTCTACGTCATCTTCTTGGTTCTTTCGGTAAAGTCACGTAGAATTGAAGTAATAAAATAATAAAAATAAAACATAATAAAATAATTCTCACGACGTTTCGGCCACTACGCAAGTATCCGTCCTCAGGTGGAGAACAGGTCTGTCGAGGAGAATTATTTTATTATGTTTTGTTTTTATTTTATTATTTCAATTCTACGTGACTTTACCGAAAGAACCAAGAAGATGAATCCCTGCAGTCATGAAAGCTTTACATCGAAATCTCTGCGTCATGTCGATCATTGGGGTTGTTTCGCCAAACATCATCAACGTGGACAATGTTGGTTGTTGAGGTGGGGGTCCCTGGACTGGCTCTGATTGGCCACCGATTAGCACGGTTGGCTCCATACGGTGCGAAAGAAGTTCAACATACACACATTAAACCACGTAAGACATGTTGGTATATTGTTTCTGTTTTCTCATGGGTTGCGACCGTAAAACTATGCTCACAGTAATGGGGGTCCTTGTGGCTTTAGGTGGTACTTCCTACAAAATTATTTTGGAGCCTTTATACAAGTTACAGTTTGGCAGCCCCCAATGACAAAGAGTTTTTAATTATAAAAAAAAATATCGACAATTTGTCTACCGTATTTGGAAATGTCAGACAATATTAATGTCAGCTTCGTCTTGAAGACCACTCTTCTGCTTGTGAAGTGAAACTGCATTGCTCTGTGTCTTTGCCGACTCTTGGCCTATCTTGTTGACAGGAGCTGGAGTTGGTGGAGACGTACTGGAGGGAAAGGGAAGAGGAGATGATGGGTTGCATGACGGAGCTGCAGGAGGAGAACCGCAAACTGGACAGCGCGTTACGTCGACGGGACACCGACAGTGCCGACACCGAGGTGGAGGAGACGCAGGCGGAAGGTGAGCAGGACCAGGATCAGGCCACTCGCTCCTCTTCACACGAGTGTAAATTAGCCACGTAGCGATTTCATGGCCACGATTTGATAGATTCTTTGTCTTGTTTTCTGTATCGTTTCTTCTTCTTTGTTTAGTTTGTATGGTTTTATTTGCTTCATTGTCCTCAACGAACCATTAACATATCATACTCTTTGGTTTTTTCGGTAAAGTCAAATAGGTAAAAAATCTAATCAAATAAATGAAAACAACTAAATTAAATCACGACGTTTCGGGCGCAACACAAGCGTACTTCTTCAGGTGGGGACAACGTAGCGAAAGCACAACCACTTGATTTGATTTTTTTACCTACGTGACTTTACCGATAAAACCAAAGAGTATGAATCCTTGCAGTCACGAAAGCTTCAAATCTAGAATTAAAATATCGTTTGCATAATTTCGGTTCGTTAGAAATTGCGAATTTCCACACGCATCATTTGACGCATGGATCATGACCGTAAGAAGCAATTTTATTCGAGACACCTCTACACACCTAGTAGACAATAATACAGGCTGCAAAAACGTGTTCCACCACATAGTCCGATTTAATAGAGCGAAAGGACAACGTGGTGGTTCGAGTGTGCACCAATCACCACTGAGCCAACAAACTCTTTCCTGCAGCAGACCGGTGATGTCTTCACTGAGTTACAGACTTTTTTGTCAGCTGTAGAGTGTACATGAAACACTGCCATGCGCAAGAACAGGTCTTTGCGTGCTGGTGCCAAAGCCTGGCTAGAAAGGGTAAAGACAAACAGTGTATCGTTTATTACGTTTAATTCACACACACACATCTGCAATTGGTGTACTGCTAAGGTTAATTTAAATAGTCCTTGCCATTGGGAAAATGTGACATTGGGCTGTGAATGTCATATGGTCCTCATTTGTTTTGTCATAGCCTCCTGGCCAAAGGTCACAGTTTATTGTCAGATAATTTGAACTTCAGATTTACATTGGGCCCAGACAAAGCTGGTAAAAAAAAAAATCGTCACAACCGAATAATAATAATATTTTCTTCCAAAGAAGAATGCAGAATTACTGGCAGATGGGCATTCATTATGCTAACGCTGATAAATCACAAGGACATTTTTATACAGTCACGTAATATTCTTTACCTGTTTCACCCTAAAAAGATGTCACCTTTAACTCATTATGTTGAGGGAGAGTGGAATTCCACAAGAAAGGAACAGAGGTGGAAATGCCACCGTAGCATTTATCAAACGAGTCCGTGTCTTCATGTTTAAGGAGCAATGGATGACACATAGGTTCAATAGTGGTGCTGTAAAACTATATAAATTCCACTTTGGAGACCAGTCTTTTCCATAGCGCAGCCGCTGTTGACTTCGCACAAAGTGGTACTCATTTTATCCACATTCTATGGATTATGGGTTGCCCCCAGCCTGAGGTGCTGGGAGCAGCAGCTACTGGAATCTGAGTTTGTATTGAAGCTTTAAAACAATGGCAGAAATAATGTGCTTTTGTTTACTCCATTGAGGCTTTGAGTATAGGAAATACAAAACAGCCCCCACGTGTGTGATAGGCGTGATAGCAGTTACCATTTCTAAATAGCGCAGTGACAGCATTTGTTTGCGGTGTTTTCCCGCAGGTAGAGATGCCATAAAATGTCAAGCTATGCATTCCCTACATGGCTTGTAAGAGGCACACACCCACGAAGTTACAGTGAAAACTACATGAGCATGCGGGGTTTTTATTTTAGCCCTGACAAATGGCCAAATGCTGCACCCTTTAACTTGACACATGCTAAACCTCAAATGCTGCAACCCTTTTACATTGACACACGTGTCACAGAGCTGAAAGTTTGCATTGTGATTGCAGCTTTTGTGGCACAGGATTGTACCTTTCGGTTTTCTACATTGTGTAATATGCAATCCCTTAAGGTGTCATAATCATGCAAATACATACTACTCGCAACATTTTAGAGAGAACAGAATTTGATTTAAAAGCCTCTACATATATCCAAACAATCCCGATACACTTACTAAAAGTTTTAAACTCAATTTTATTATATAATAAGGAGCCACGGTTTTGGCGATATTCACAATGTTCAATTTCCTGTTGTTTTAAAAGTTGAGGATTTTATATATATTAGAAAAAAATTCAGCGGGGTAGCTATAAATGTATCATCTTGTAAATGTGAGTGTAAATATGGCAGCATTTGCAGTGGCTTGTGGAGCACTTGAAGGCTCCGATACGGTGAGTAGCAGACATTAAATAGCTCGATTGCGAAGACTGAACGTCAAGGACTTGTCCTGGCCGCCTAGCTTTGTAACTTATCCCTGTGGCTATGAGCCCCATGGAAAAGCTATCCAACTCTATTCATATTCTTAGGTTTTTTCGGTAAAGTCACGTAGGTAAAAAATTTAAAATTAATAAAAGTAAAATAAAATAAAAATCACGACGTTTCGGAGGCAACACAAGCTTCCGTCTTCAGGTGGAACCGTCACAGCCCGACAGCTGTATCAAGTAAGACGGAAGTTTGTGTTGCCTCCGAAACGTCGTGATTTTTATTTTATTTTTATTTTATGTTACTTTTATTAATTTAAATGTTTTACCTACGTGACTTTACCAAAAAAACCTAAGAATATGAATCCTTGCAGTCACGACAGCTTCAAATCTAGAATTATCCAACTCTACTTATAGTGTGCCACGTTACAGACCCTTTGATCCGAAGAAAATATTTAGAACATTAATATGGAATATGTGGCAATACAAACAACAAAACTTTATACGTAGGCTTTCATGACTAATATGATTCGTAATTGGTTTATTTTGGGTTAGGTCATCATGTAGAAATGTGTGTTGTAAAACCCTCCTGCAGCCGACACCGCGAATTCACAGAAGTGTCACGCGAATCAAACTTGCCGATGTATTACTGCTTCAGCAGCACTGCCCGGTATTGTTGTTGGAGAGTAATTATCTTAACGACATTTAAATGGGTGTCACGTTTCACTGGAGATTACATCCAGCCTCTTCAGGTCGTTAACAGGGGCTCAGGAGCTCGGTTTATACATTTGCCACTTTTGAATCACGTGACAATTTTATTGATTGGCTTTTTGATGGATGGAGGAGGTTCACACGCACATTTTTACACAACCTAACCCAAAACAAACATCTTGACTTAAAGCTTTCGTGACTGCAGGAATCCATATCCTTTGGGCCTTACGGTAAACTCGCGTAGAGAGGTTGAAAGAAAATAACAACCTATCTACGTGACTTTACCGAAAGACTCAAAGAATACCAAAATAAACAAATTACGAATAATAAATATGACGCTGCATATAAAAGACCCAATGTGTGAATACTTAACAATGCTGATTATAAATTGCCGCTGTGGTTTATTGGTATCCTGATTGCTTTATTTGAATGTGCTCTTTTGAAGCGCTCCACTCACATCATCATACATGGCCAATACAGTAATGATGGTGCTGCACTGTTATAAATGTATTAAAAGTAGCAGAACAGGGTAAAACAAAATAAAAAAATGACTGACCTGCATGCTGCAAGGATGCCTTTTCTGGCATCTGGCTTTTACAATTGGCCTTGTATCTGAAGGGTTGCCTGTGATTTGTTTCCCACATTACCCTTTCAGGTTTGACTGAGAAGGAGCGGGACGTGATGGTCAAACTCAAGGAAGTGGTGGACAAGCAGCGGGATGAGATAAGAGCCAAGGACCGGGATATCAGCCAAAAGAATGAAGACGTGGAGGCGGTAAGTAGCGATGTGAATGCGGGACATGTTTGGGTAGAGGTCTAATCATCATCAGCAATGATCTATATTCAACTGGATCAAGGCCTTCTTCTGCCGTCACCATCTTCTTACGCTCGTCCGATGCCACAATCCATCTACCTCACTCCTGCACGAGCAGATCTCATCGCTTCATCTTCGTGGCGGTCGTTTTCTCTCGCGCTTTCTCTCTCGTTGCTGCCATTCAGCCACCAGTTCTTGTCTATCAACCATCATCCCTTGAGCGATGTGTCCTGCCCCAAAACCCACTTCCTTTTCTTACCAGTCAATACGATGTCTTATACAATTTTAGTTTCTTCCATGAACCACTTGTTCCTATTTTCATCTTGAGCGTAATTTTAACATTCGCCTCTCCGTACTTCTTGGCACACTCTTTTTTTAGTTTTTTTGTCCAATTTTCTTCGTCAGTATTGATGTTTCTGATCCAAATGTCACAGTGGGTAATATCGGTTGGGGTTCCAAGTGAGGACTGCGGCTCTCAAATGAATAACGTCGCCCCCGTGGTCTCCCCCATTGTGATACGTGGATCAAACAAATCACTCGAGACTCCGGTGTACGGCAGCCAAGAGCAGGTCATGCGAACGCTGTCGCAAGAGGTCACACGTTTGATGGAATGGTCCTTCGCTGACTATGCATGATGAATGAATGAATATTCTTTGAAGGCTGTCTTCCTTAGATAAAATTTATAATCAAATTTACGTTTTCAAAAACACTCAATCCTGCTCTAATTTCCTTCTTTATTTCATAATATGGTCCTCTTTCCACCTTCAATAATTAGCTAAGGTATACCTATTCTGCTCGTTTTGCAATTGTCCTTCCAACTGGTAATGTCTTACCTGCCTTGCATTTTAAACCACTTTATGTTTCTGCCTATCAATTTATATGCTTCAAAGTGGTAAACTTATTACGATACATATTGAAATAGGTATTGTATGATTGTTTAGATGTCAATGTGAAATCTATTTGTCAAATTCTGTAATATTTTTCAGACAATATTTTTCCCTTAATAAAACAATGTAGTAAGTATAGGGAGGAGTGAACCACGCACAAGTTAAAGAATGTCCATACAAGTGAATATAAAGCGGTTACCTTAAATAAAATATTTACACATTGCATATGAATGAAATGTACTTTTTGTACAAATCATATTTTGCTCGTTTGTACATAGCTAGCATTTTATATTGCCAAGCAATAAGCACAACTGATGATATCAAATAAGGGGCAATCATACATAGGGTCCTGGCTATAACATCAGTTGGTGAGGTGCATTGTTTCTGCCGCTGGGAATCGGAGGGAAACTTAAACGGTATGAATGGAATTTGGGTAAGTGTCTGCAAAGTTTCAGCCAGAGCATTTTCAAACATTGTAAGAATTATAATGCTGCTTGGGGCTGTATAGGGTTATTACCATGCAAATATGCCAGCGCAAGCACCATCTTGACGTTTCTTTTGCGCTTGGAGTTAGTTGAATTTTTAAAATGAACTTCATATCCGAAAGTGCACACGTGCGTACACACAACTGCATAAGCCTGTGAGCTTGGTTTATTTTCAAAGTCAGATTTAAAAATAATATCGCCATTTTCCATTGTTTACTGTGCCAAACTGCGTTGGAGATTTACCAACACTCACTACATGTACGGGGATGCAGATCCATCGCAAATCTCCTTTGTACTTGCTCATTTTTTTGTGTCCAGAACAAAAGGCTATTGTTACTACTGTGCATATTTTGCTGATGTGCTGCACAGCTCTGCGACATGTTGTTCGGCATCATGTCCGACGTTTCCCTCCACCTGCTGTGAGCTTCGACAGGAAGTCCCTGAGCATCCACAGGGAGAGCGATACTATTTCAGGAAGTTCCTAAAAATAAACTCTCGGTGCTGGGCATGGTGCCGAAAAGCACACGGTACAACCCAAAAAACACGTCACAATTTGTTTCAACACTTTGTTGTTTCTGAAGCACGTATCGCTGCGTGTATACTTTCACAAGTGGTTAATTTCTCAGACCTTTTCGATTGAACCAGTTGAGTTGTGATAAGACAGCGGACACAAAATGGAGCACGTCGTCTGTTTTGACACATGTAGAACATTTATACTGGTAGGAACCTCCTGGTTACACCAGCCCACAGGGGATTATTGTGTCCGTCCGTCGTGCAGGGAGGGGCTGGGTGGGGAGGGAGGGGCTGGGTGGGGAGGGAGGGAGGGCTGGGTGGGGAGGGGAGGGAAGGGTGGGGAGGGGCTGGGTGTGGAGGGTGGAGCTGGGTGGGGAGGGGCTGGGTGGGTGGGAGGGGCTGGGTGGGGAGGGAAAGAGGGCTGGGTGGGGAGGGGAGGGAAGGGTGGGGAGGGGCTGGGTGTGGAGGGTGGAGCTGGGTGGGGAGGGGCTGGGTGGGTGGGAGGGGCTGGGTGGGGAGGGAGGGAGGGCTGGGTGGGGAGGGGAGGGAAGGGTGGGGAGGGGCTGGGTGTGGAGGGTGGAGCTGGGTGGGGAGGGGCTGGGTGGGGAGGGTGGGGAGGGGCTGGGTGGGGAGGGTGGGGAGGGGCTGGGTGGGTGGGAGGGGTGGGGAGGGGCTGGTCACCCCGTGGTGCCCTTATAAAACTCAACGTTTAACCTACTCACGCCGGCTTGTGCCCGCCCTCACAGTCGGGCATATTTGCGGAATACACCACGCCGCCGTTGACCCTGGCCATTGACCGAGCAACCCAACGATCCTACCAGCTCCTTCCGCAGGAATGTGTTTGGGCGAGGCAAGGCTGGAAAGTTTCTACTTTGTTTCCACAAAAATCATGTTCAGAACTGGGATATTTTTTTATGAGCGTGGGCACCCACAGGGGGAGAGAGGCACAATTTCAGCAGCATGGCATCTGGCAGGGCACGCTGTGGCATGCTGTTGCAGTAAGGGCAGATGTGTCAGTTAATTCCCTTTCTGATGCGCTGCTGCTCCTTCGCTTTGTACTTTCAAGCCTGATTCCATTTCCCTTCCTTCCGACGCCGCTGTGCAACGTTTGGATAGTAATCACACTATTCTGGGATTGACCAAATAGGAGGAGGAAAATCATGACCACGGGGAAAGTCGCCGAGGTTATGGGGTAGGTTTGGGGAAATCTTTGATGGTCCATGCCTTTACCATCCAATGTGTGTTGAACTTCTTTCGCACCTTACATAGCGAACCGTGCTAATCGGAGGTGCTTGGGTAAGGACAACAAACTAAACGCAAAAAGCAATTGCAACTCACTCTATTTGGAGTTTCCAAAGGTACAGTGAGTGCACAGCACTGGTTTAGCATTACACGTTTGAGCTAAAGTTAGCCGAGAAAGATCGCTGCATCGGCTACTCACGCTGGCTGGTGGCTCGCTCGCTGTGATCTCACCATCCATCATAATCGCTTGAGTCATAGTCCACACAATTACTGAACACGGAACTGATTTGAGGGAGGTGTGTGGACACGTGCTTAAGAGGCTACATTGGTGGTGTGGATGTGGGGGGGGGGGTGCCTGTAGAGAGCTGCCAACCTCAAGTCTCTGATCTCCCCAACGAGTTCAACGTAAAATAATTACTGGACAGTAGCATCTTCTTGCGAGGGCCAGCGAGGGCAAAGTCGAAACTCTGCTGTTGAAATCTTGAAGTGTGTGTCATAGTTTGAGTGTAGTTGCCGAGTGTAGTTTTGTGGGGAGCGGTGGTGTAGCGGTTAGCGCGCTGCGCTACGAAACCCGGCGACTCGAGTTCCATTTCCGCTCACGGTCAACACCGGTGACGATTATCTGAATCGGTCATGGGCCTCCCCTAGGTCGACTGAGCCCCAAATGAGTACCTGGTGCGGTGTGTAAAACATCGCCACTAGGGAGACAAAGGCGGCCGAGCGTGGTGATGGCCACCCACCCCCTCGTGTGCCATGTTGGCCTTCATAGGTGCTACTCGCTAACAGCACTTGCCCCAACAGTCTGTTAAGGCTGTACGGGGGATCATTGTCTTTGTTTAGTTGCTGATCAATTGAATTCTCGAGGCTCTGTTTTTCAAAAATAGGTTACGGCACACTTGCCCGTTGTCATGGAGGATTTGTCTTGATGAAGCAAATGTTGCTCGGGCAGGATGAACTTGGCAAGAAATGTTTCCCCAAAGACGAGGGGCATTTGTGACGATTGTGTTTAAAAAACGACGTCAAAAGGTGGTATGTGGATTGTCGATGTGAATGCAATCGTTGCGTTCGGTGTCGTTCAAACAGAGTTCTGGCCACAAAAGCCTCGCTTACCGACAAGACGAAACTTGCTCGGTGTGCTGGGGCCTTTATTGCTATGACTGCACTCTCATTCCGGGGATGCTCTCGCAGTGATATCACTTAGACCACCGTTGTAAGGTACAACATCCTGGGCATTTCTTAAGTCAATCGGGATGCTGCCGAGTTGAACGCCCGAGAGATGACTTCACTGAAGACGAGACGTTGAATACAACACGTCATCTTCTGTTCCACGTTATGCGCGAGCACGGTATGTCGTAGCAGTGTGCAAAAGCCGCAATTCAAAACGCAGCAGCGAGTCCACAGCTCCCTTCGTGGCCGAGGACTTACGACACGCTTGAGTGACTTGGACCGCATTCAACTCCAGATGAAGTCATTACATTCAAAGTGGTGTATAACATGAACTTTAGCCGCTGTTTTGGCAGAATAAAAGAACAAACACGTTTCTGTAATCCTTCTTATATAGACCTCCAGATCACATGGCTCAATGGTGTAAGTGTGCTGAAGGGGTTTCTGGTTTTAAGCCATCTTATGACACGTGCCTCGCTAAAGCATCCGAATTTATATGTCAAATATTGGCCATGCCAGTTGGTCACTGAAAGAGCTCAAGTTACCAGCAACATTTATGATTAAACATTAGAGAGAGAACTGAAAGTCGAGTGGATAGCTCTTCGTTACCGCTCGCTCGATGAAAATGTGATGTTTAAATAGAAGTTGAAATGAACCCGTGAACAAGCTGGAGTTTTTCCGTCACGCTCTCCGAGTCGAGCCGCGCATCCACAAGTGCGCTGCATGTGCACTTGGTCAGTGGCTAGCGGCGGTGTGGGAACGTACTGTGATGCCGCATGTGCACAGGCTGTGACGAGCTATTTCCCTCAGCGGACCGTTTCCATTCTGCCTCTCTGTGGGGGGGACGCACTAAAGGATGCATCTTGTATTTCAATTCATATATTTTTTTCTTCCGTCTTCAATTCAATGACTAATTCAATCAACATTTGAAAAAGGAAAAAAACTTTGCTTTCACACACCTGCAACGTCACGGTCCGTTTTTTGTTCTTTGTTAACGCTGGTGGTGGGGGGGGCCAGGATTGCCCACGATGTTAATGTACAATCGTTTTCATAAAACGGTGAAGTACAAAGGTGGTCAGGTGTCACGTTACTGTTTGCTGAACGTCGTGCAATCACTTGTTTTTTTTGTATCACTCCGGGGAGGGTTAAAAAAAGGTATCCAACAGATGCTCAGCCGGCAAGGTTTGCTGAACGGGATTGTGTTGTCGTTGTTGAGCGGTCATCGGGAAGATAGAGTAACTGTTAAGAGAGAAAAGAGGATGAAGGCAACGTTTTGTATGTACTTATGTGCGTTGAACTTATTTCGCACCGTACGTAGCCAACCGTGCTAATCGGAGGTGCACATTCGCAGGTTTAAGGGCATTATATAATTAAAATATTATCCAGTTCATGTTGAAATTATAGCTATACCTCTGAATTGTTGCGGTGTTGGTTTGCTTTTCACAAGTGGCGCTTTGTACGTGTTTATTGCAGCTTGTAGGTATGCGTTTGTAAGATTCACACAGTTAATACAGAGGCATAAAGCCAAGCAGATAAAACACTTATTTAAGTTACTTAAAGGGGTACGCACGAGTATAACAACTCACTAAAACAACAGAATATACAAATAGATAAAACGATAAAAAAACCTCGATTTGTGACATAGCAAGCAGGCAGTCCAGACAGCGATAGAGCAAATGACAACATTCGGCGGGAAGCAAGAGGTGAGGGAGGAGGTGTGGGAGGAGGTGAGGGAGGAGGTGAGGGAGGAGGTGAGGGAGGAGGTGAGGGAGGAGGTGAGGGAGGAGATGGAGGAGGAGGTAGAGCTGCCGACCCTGCTCGATATGGATCCCATGGATCTGGACGTGGATGACGTGTACACCATCGCGGCCATGGTGGGCAGGGATTTCGAGCAGATGGTGGCGCGCGGCGGCTCGGTCCAAGTGGCCCAGTTAATGCCCAAAGTGGTGCGCGTGCTCGAGATCTTGGAGGTGTTGGTCGCGAACAGCCAGGCCCGCGGTGATGGCCCGGGGTCCGCTGAAGGGGGCGAGTCGTCGGATGACGAGCAGGTGGGTGCCGCGACCGCCGTGCCCGTTGGGCGTCCAGGGGTCTCGGCTGGGATGATAACCGAGGAGCGTAGGCGCGTGGAAGTGTCGTGGCATGATGCTACTAAGAATCACGCCAGGGGGTGTGTATGTGTGTGTAGGTCGAACTAAGTCCTCAAGTGGGTAACGGGGCGGTAGTGTAGCGGTTAGCGTGCTGTGCTATGAACCTGGCGACCCGGGTTCGAGTCCCGCTCACGGCCAACACCGGTGACGATAATGTTTATCTAGAACCGGTCCTGGGCCTCCCCGAGGTCGACTCAGCCTCAAATGAGCACCTGGTGCGGTGTGTAAACATCGCCACTGGGGAGACAAAGGCGGCCGGGCGTGGTGTTGGCCACCCACCCTCTCGTGTGCCGTGCCGGCCTTCATAGGTGCTTGCTAACAGCACTTGCCCCAACAGTCTGTTACAGGCTACACGGGGGGTCTTTGTATGTGTGTGAACATTCGTATGAGGCATGGGCAATTGATGTGACGCTTGTGCTTAGGTTGGAGACGCGGTATTAAACGTTTTTGGTACTTGTGTTAATATCAATTTTACATTGCCTGCAGACCAAAATTAGTGGAATTTTAGTTTTTCATTACAGTAATTTATAGCTAGCATGGTTTTAGTCGACAGAGCATAGTTTACTTTCATAGCCTCTTGCATCATTTATCATTTATCGGTTTTGTTGTGTATTTAAGTTAAATGTAATTTGTTTAAAGAAAATTTAGATATTTAAAATGACTTATCCGTTTTCACTTGGTGAGGTAATTTTATAGCACTGCCTTTAGGCATTCAAACCCGTCGTCTTGATTCTCACACTACGTTAAGTATGGTGAAAATAATATTTGAAATAATATTATCGCACATTTAGTTTATGTACTATGTGTTGCGAAAATATTTCCCCATTGGAAAGCCTCGTGTGTGGGGTGAAACATCTCATTCGCATCGGAACCCTGAGCAATCAACAGAGGAAGCCGCAGCAGATGGAATTTAAACAGCAATTAAAACACGTTAAAAGGCACGTAACAAAAACACACATTCAACACATTACTGCAATGCCAGAAGCACTGAAAGTAGCCGCAGATTGTCACCGATGTTCACAATCGCATAACGGTGGGTTTAATGTTTTGTGAATGTCATCAGGTAGAGTTTCCCATGCATGTGCAACTCCGTAGATGTGATTCAACACTGGTGAGACCACCTGCAGTAGCGCACATAAAGCAACGATGATCGGCGGTGGCTTTCTGAAACACGGCCGTTGTCCAAACATGTGATAGCCGACTAAATAAATGTATTTTGTCATAAGGCTGTTGCTTAGCACTCCATTGTGTTGTTGGGTTGTTTCGCCCGTCCTTTTTAGCATAATGTCCGGCCTTTCGCTCAATGTGCTCGGAGCTTGTTAGGGTAACGGCGGACGTCATGCCGAACATCACGGTGCAATTCTGGATTTGAAGCTTTCGTGACTGCAAGGATTCATATTCTTAGGTTTTTTCGGTAAAGTCACGTAGGTAAAATTTTTTAATTAATAAAAGTAAAATAAAAAATAATCACTTGATACAGCTATCGTGCTGTGACTGTTCCACCTGAAGACGGAAGCTTGTGTTGCCTCCGAAACGTCGTGATTTTAATTTTACTTTTATTAATTAAAATTTTTTACCTACATGACTTTACCGAAAAAACCTAAGAATATCACGGTGCAAGTACAATTCGAAAAAGACATCCGCTAAAAACATGACTGCACAAGCCTATGCAAGTGGTAAAGGTTTCGTTAATGTTGGCTACAATTCTTTGAGGGGGCTTTATTTTGGTGTTTGTACACCACTTATTTCAAGTATTGTAGTTAAGTTGCCTTGTGGCCACACCGCTCCATTGTAAGAGATGGTTCCGGGTGGCGTAGGGGTCAGAGTACTTTATGGGCAACGTTGAGACCCGGGTTGGAGTCCTGGGGAGCCACCGATGATTATACTGTTATACTGGGTTCTCGTGTGTAGTAGCGAGTTCATGCTGTCAGCCCCGTCACCAGAGACTGAAAATATACTCTGTCACATTAAAGTTTGTGTTTCACTTTGGCTACATTCCAGCTGTTAAAATGCAATATATTGGTTGCACTGCCATGCAATGGATATTTTTCAGCAGCAGGGTATGTGGGAGCTACCCCCCTTACCACCCCAGTGTATGCATTAAAAGGGTCTTTAAAGGTATTACAGAATGAGTTCCATGATATCACATTCATGCACCATCATCTAATATTTTGATGCACTGCTCATTGTGAGAGTTGTGAATGGAGAATTCACCTCATGACGTGACGCCGCTCGCACAATTGTAATTTTTCCGTGGAAAATATTTGTTTTAAAGTGCCATTGTCACACCGATGATGAAGAATACTGATGGAATCGAAAGCCAAGGAATGGAACGTGTCCAAGAGGTCATCCACCAAGGAGACGGAGCGATAAAATCACCTCGTGCTTGATGCTTTTGTCCAGCGGTGGATTGACCCACGGCTGGCGACGGTGCGATCGTCACACGCGTGTGTCCGTGCCTTCCGTAGCTGCAGCAGCAGCTCTCGCGGCTGATCAAGATCAACAACGAGCTGCGGCACAAGCTGGCCGTGATGGAGGCGCAGGGGAAGTCGCTCATCGAGCAGAAGGTGGAGCTGGAGGCCGATCTGCAGTCGCGCGAGCAGGAGATTGGGCGCCTGCGCGAGACGGCGGCGAGCGTCGCAAGCGCCTTCCTGGAGCAGAGCGAGTGCCAGGAGGGCGCGGTGGCGCACCACCCTGGCTCGGGCGAGGACAAGGTACAGCAAGCCCTCCGGAGGCTCGCTTGCTTTATTTGTGTATTTACTGCAATTCCTGGGCCAGTGTTTGATAAACAGTAGCTCGGTTGAAAAGTATGCTTACAATGTGGATTTTTGTTGTTGTTGTTTGTTGTTGTTACCTGTTTCCACACCACCCCGGCATGGGCGAGGACAAGGTACAGCAAGCCCTCCGGAGGCTCGCTTGCTTTATTTGTGTATTTACTGCAATTCCTGGGCCAGTGTTTGATAAACAGCAGCTCGGTTGAAAAGTATGCTTACAATGTGGATTTTTTGTTGTTCTTTGTTGTTGTTACCTGTTTCTCCACAACTCTGACTGTCGCCTGATGAGGCTGGTTGTAATTACGGGCGAAGCGTCGTAGTCGAATGCTAAATGTTGTGGGTTTACTCTCCAACACATAACCGGTGTGCTGAACTAGTAACGAATTGGTATGTTTAGTTTACGTCTCAAAACTTACCGATCGGCTGTGTCAGGTGGTGGCGGATTTAACGACACATTTCTACTAATAGGGTTTTTCCCCTTTTTTCTGGCAACAAAACTGACACCTTTTGCAAGGAATCATGCTTACATTAACCACAATACTTGCAGTCAAATGCAAACAAATGAGACTAGGCTCTAAAGAAAGCTGTCCCTGGTGTGGACCAATCAGTTTCAAAGACAATGCATACATTATCAGAGTATTGTTTTTTGTTTGCATTTGACTGCAAGTATTGGGGTTAATGTAAGCATGATTCCTTGCAAAAGGTGTCAGTTTTGTTGCCAGAAAAAAGGGGAAAACCCCTATTAGTATATTTTGGTACTGGCAAAGGAGGTCCCATGATGATCATGACACATTTCTATTTACGCGATCTAACCCAACAACGCCCCTATCATGGACCTGAACATGCTGCCCGTATTTTTCGCCGCCAAATACCTCCACACCCCAGCTTTGGCAAAGACAAGGTACAGCAGCCCTCGAGAGGTTCGCTTGCTCATTTGTGTTGGTGCTCTTACAATTCCTGGACCCAGTGTTTGATAAACAGCGGCTCAGTAGAAAATTGTGATTACAATGTTGATTTTGGTTGTTACCTGAACACGTGACCCGTATTTTGCATTTGTCGTCAAATATTGCCACACCCCAGCTTTTGGCAAAGCCAGGGTACAACCGGCTCTCTCAGTCCCCGTGGGTCGTCGTGCATCAAAATGCTGGTTGCTCTTACATCACTTGACCAGTGTTTAATAAACAGAGACTCGGTAGAATTCTTTCTCCGAGCATGTGGAATGTTTTTTGTGACCTAAACATGTACCCGTAGTTTGGATTTTGTCGCCAAATATTGCAATCAGGTTCTTGCATTTCAGGGTGAGGCATCGGGCAAAAGTGACCTCTGAACTTTCTACAACCAGGGCCCGGATTAAGGTTCTTGTAGGCATAACAAAAGGTCCAGTCCCATTTACACGCACCTTTACTTCAGCCTCACCTTAACAACTCTTTTCAACCAGTCTACACAACAAAGGCTCATTCCTAACAGCGTGCTTCAGCCGCACCGAACCTCACAATATTAATATCCAGGGCCTACCTTAGCTCCTCCCACCCTCAACCAGTATATATACAAGGACTGTTTTCTTGGAATTTCTCTTACTTGATACAGCTGTCGTGCTGTGACGGTTCCACCTGAAGACGGAGGCTTGTGTTGCCTCCGAAACGTCGTGATTTTTATTTTATTTTTATTTTACTTTTATTAATTAAATTTTAAAATTTTTACCTACGTGACTTTCCCGAAAAAACCTAAGAATATGAATCCTTGCAGTCACGAAAGCTTCAAATCTAGAAGTTCTTGTAGGCCTTAGTGATAACTTTTTCTAGTTGGCACTTCCCACGGTGCTGTCCTTGAGATTATGCGAAAAACACAATTTGAAGATGTTATTTCTAATTTTGCAATGAAAAAATCTCGAAAAGTTTATCTCCGGCATTAATTTTTTTCACCTTATGAAGAAAAGCGATTGAGATTGACACGACTCTGCCTCTTTGTATGTACACTGTGCCAATCCTTGCTACATATAAATATATTTATTTGTGAAAGATATCTTGGTAAAAAATGTCATCATACAAAAAAAACATGGTGAAGAAATTCCGTAGGCCCTTTAGTTTTCGTAGGCCCCTTGGCCCTGTGCCTATTGGATTATACGGCCCTCTCTACACCAAGACAATTGAACATGCCTCGTAACTGCTCATGATGTCTCTTCTATAGCGCCTTTTATCAGCAAAGAGGGTGATGATCCCTCACGCCGTGCGCAAACGTACGCATGGCCTCAGAGCATTATGGGTGAAATCATATATATATATATGCAAAGCTCTGTCCTGTGTCTCTACACGTGAATAAAAACATACTTGTAGTCCTTTAGCCTCTTGGTTTCCCACACAAATATTATCAGGCAGCATTTATTTTCAGCGAGCAAACTCTGTACTGGGTTCCCATCTTTCTGGGTCTCATCAGCAGCGTCAGGTTTGGAGAATGCTGCTGGATTACCAAAAGTTATTGACGAGAACGCTGCACCTGAACTGTGGGATCCGTTCAACCCACTCCAGTGTGATTCACCCATGCATCTGACATGCCATTGCCTGCTTGACTGACTATACAGGTTATAGCGGGGAGAAAAAATAACCAGCATTGACTTCAATTGCTTAATATTATATATTTTTTTCTTGTGCAGCCATTGGCGACAAGGCTTTGATCGTCAACTGTGGAGCACAGTTGAGATTTGCTATAATTGGTGACTGATTCACAAACGTCTTGTTTCACAGGTTGCCGATGATGGTGCTGTTGTGTTTATGTCTTTCTTGAGTGTCGCATAACTGGAGCAGCACATACATGTGGATTTTTTTTCTCTTAAACAGCTTTCATTCTTCCCTGGGGTAGAGGATGAAGAAGATGAAAGTGTGTGGGTAATGAGTCTAAACTACTTACCGAGAGCTCTGATTGACTGCCTTGCTAAAATTAACGTGTTGCAACACACATCAGCATGTTTGCCATTAACACAGTGGGGCATTAGAAGTACAACAACTCGGTTGTAAAGATGAAGGTAAAACTCACTTAAAATGTATCATTATTTTCTTCGTCTATCCAGGAGAGCCTTGCTGAGTCCTGGGACTTTTGTTTTCAGGAGGGTCCTTAATTTAAATATTTGTCCAATACATATATGGAATAAAACCTGCAGAAAATCTGTGCATGTGCCCAACGCTGCACAGGTGTGGCGTGTTATATTGAATGGAATTGCATGCAACCTTGGATACCCGTGCATTTGACTGCCTCGTGTGTATCCGGAAATATTTGGCACTGATTTTATCTGCACATTGAGGCTTGGAACTTATCTTCAGATCTTATTTGAGGCCTAGGCACGTGAAGGAATGGTTGTCTGTCCATTGCTGCCACTAAATACGAGGACGCTTAATTAATGATGCCATATGCCACCTAACTTTAAATATAGCCATTGCACAACTTATAAAGTGCATCCAATCTATTTAATGTTAACACTAATGCCATTTGTTGGGTTATATTGGCCAGATAGGGACAGGGGAAGTGACCACTCAACACTGCCATCTCCTGGCAGAGAGACTCAAGTCATCAGATAGATCCAATCCTTAATGTCCATAATAGAGGTTTTTTTGGTTAGATCACGTAAATATAAACGTGTCATTTCGCCAGTAGTTACAACTTGCATTGCATCATCAGGCGACAGCCAGATTTGTGGGTAATATTGGTCGCGAAAGCCTACGTGTTCAACAAATCCAATCCTTGAAATAATTTGTGGACTGAACCCAATTGGATGTTCTGCCATCTCCTGGCCACCTCGCACCACTATGCTTGCAACACATGGCATGCACGGATGGGTCATCCATCCAAGTACTAACCAATCTTCTGAGATGTTGGTGCATTCAATGTGGTTTGGTCTATGGAAACATTTTAAAAATGTCAATTTACCTTGGCGATTGGAATCTCAATTGGATGTGATTAACCGAGAAGTGGGTTGTGCTGATAATACACTTTGCTTGTTTTATTGCCCTTGGCAGTGTGACATTGCCTGCATCCTGATATGAATCCAGTAACCCACTGTGTGCCAACAAGGCCAATGCAGCAGCTGGCAATGTAATGTTACTTTTAGCTCAAAGGTCCTGCCCAGCATCTGGTCCCTTAAAGTCCTTTGAAGTGATATTTAAATTGTGCGTTATCGTCTTGTTTGAACAAGTGTAAGCAGTTTCTTAATGATGATTTTAAATTTTTGACTAGAAACATTTGGGTTTATTGAGGATTGAGGGTGGAGTTAAAACTTGGTGGTGGTGTAGTACCACACCTGGTTTAAGGTTCATCACACAGGTCCAGTAGAATCACATGCAAGCAAGAGAAGCACTTCTTCTCATCTGACTATTTAAAAAAATATATGAATTGACCAAGGCTATAAATCATAATTATGTTTGAGGTGTTATTAACTGTTTAACAGATGGCCATGCCGTGTGTTTATTTTTTGTTTCTTCTTGTGCATGGAACACATTCTTTTTAGTCTTGCACTTCATTTAAAACAAAATTAATCCATGAAAGCCTGACTGTGTCCTCTTGGGGTTCCTGCATTGAGATGTTTGGTCAGTTCCATCCATCAGGGATTTGGTGTGTTCGAGAAAACGAGAGTGACCAGAGAAAACCCACCCATATGAGGGGGTAACACTGAGAGATGTACACACACAAAAATTTAATATTCAATTGCTGTACTACAGTGTCCAAATTAGTCGGCATTTTTTTTTGTTGCAGTGCTTAGTTTAGTTGAAGACAGCGTCCAGAATTTTAGTTCAGTTTTAATGTGTGAAATTCATTTAGTCATTCTTTTTGTCTAGTTGACACGAGCATAAAACAAATGTAGCCCACTTTCATTAAATGTTTGGCACTTTTTTTTCCCCCACCCAATATCAAATAAGCAGCGTGATTCTAATAACTTTACAAAATGATCTTAGCCTGCACCTTCATTGACACTCATTAAATGATGTCTGGTGTTTGGCGGCTAGTCAGCGCTCATCGCCGCGTTTGATGAGTTTCGTCTACTCGGTCATCAACGTAAAAAAAAATCCCCTCCTTTTTACGAATATTTCGTGACTAATTTTATCCCGCCATCTGCTGTTGCCACCTGCCGTTGGCGTGCACGCGTTTTGTTTTGTACACTAACGTTCGAAATGCAGCCGCGTCGGTCTCGCCTCGCATGGCCCAAGGTGTGTTCGAGACTTCTTCGCTCGATGACGGTGCAGAGCTGTGAGTGTGCGCGCACGTGGGGGCGTGGTGTCGTGTGTCCGTGTTCGAGCTCAGATGGACGGGAAGCTCGTGGTCGATCTCAAGGACCCCAACCGGCCTCGCTTCACGCTGCAGGAGCTGCGCGAGGTGCTGCAGGAGCGCAACGAGCTCAAGGCCAAGCTCTTCCTGCTCCAGGAGGAGCTGGCGTACTACAAGAGGTGATGAATGGCACGGCCTGGCAGCTGTCGGGGTTGTTGCGCCACAGCCCGTCACAGCCCGCCACGGTCTCAGAACCATTCTCATTGGAAGCAGACATTTAGAATCCGTTGAAAGGCGTTAGGGTGTGAAAAAAAAAAATATCAATTATTTTTTATTAATCAGGTAAGGCCCACTGAGCTTTTATAGTTCTTTATCAGAAGCAAAAAGGCCCCACATGATAGCTGAACTAAGTGGCTTGTCACGTGGAAATTTGTAATGAGGACAAAATGTAACAAAATGGACAACATGTACTCATTACACTGTGCAGCCTGCGTTATTTGCGAGCCCCTCCGGTAATCACGAACACCACAGGATTAATTCAGCCAAAGAGGGTTGAGTGTGGTTCCCAAAAGGTGGGGTGCTGTTTGGCGATTTTGAATCCAGATGTTTTCAAGAGGGAAACAAAATGAGGCTCACATATTGATATTTTTTGTGACGAGTGTTATATTGCTTAATGTTAAACAAATGACATGATTAATTTCAAGTCATTATTGAGTACTGTTCTGTAAATAAGGAAAATAACCAAGATGTGGGTATCCTTTTCATATCCATGTTAAAAATGTTTACATCGTTAAATATTTAAAATCTTATTGTGTTAACATTTTCAGCTTGCATTCGCCGTTCTGTTGTGGTGACACATTGGAATGTACAGCTTTGCTCTCCTTAATTGAGTCGAGGTCTCCCTTGGACAGGAGGTGCTCGCTCCCCATGGCCTCTGACCTGGTCACAAATAAAGGGCACCAGTCTGAATGTCATCCAGTGGTAGCCACACACTCAACAGTGTAGCTAAGTGTACCTTGATGCAGCAAATCTGGCTGTGACGGTCCCACCTGACGACGGAGACTTGTGTTGCCTCCGAAACGTCGTGATTTTTATTTTATTTTTATTAATTTTTATTTCATTTTTTACCTACGTGACTTTACCGAAAGAACTAAGAGTATAGTGTAGCTAAGGATGAGCGTTCTGGGCTTCACTTTGAGTGGCCACCTTTACCCCCTTTTCTCCTGGTCACGAGTAATGTCTGCTTTGACCCACAGGACCCTGTTTTATGCAAAACATTAATGTTCTGAGGCGTTTAATAGGGGATGTGTGTAACAATTCATCCTTCTCGCGATGTCATTGCATTTTCATGATTCGGGATTGCAATTCAATTCAAGAAACAATCTTTTTTCACGTGAACCGATTACATACAATGACGTACAGATCGAAAACATCCGATTCGTATGTGCACGATGAAATGCACGTGTTGCGATTGTAAGAATCGATTTTAGCCTTTGAGGAGTTGATGCATTGTTACATTCCCAGTATTTACACTTGCTTCACCTGAACTGGTTTTATTCTCATTCTTGCATGGCGCTGCTTTATAAATGTGCTCGTCAGCCTTTACCGTGGCAGTGTTCCAAGAGGGAACTCTGATATTGGTCAAGCATTATTTTTCCTCCATCTAAGTCTGATTTCTGTCCACCCGTCACCTTTCACGTAAGACGTTCTGCTCGTTTTTTTGCACGTGCTTAGCAGCTTGTACTTTTATTTACTCCTAACTGATCAGCGTCTTGGAGATCAGGATTTGTGCGGTGGGCAGAAATGGGAATGTGTGGAAGGATAGATCGCTTGCTATTTCTGTACGTACACCTGGCTTCCGCTTCAGCTGATATTGCTGCTGTATTGCCTTTCCTCCACTAAGGGGCTCAATCTCGCTTGCACTGCCTCAATGTTCGCTGTGCTCCTCTGGCTGTGATCCCTTCTCCGGCTTCACTGATTTGCTCGTGTGAACACAGGGGGTTTCCTTCAACTCGATCCTAAAGAGTCCCACCGCCGCGTCATTTTTTACGCTTACCATTCGTAGAATAACAAAAATTACATAGTTATCACTGCTCGCACCTGATTGTTGATAAGCACGCCCCACGTGACCTCGAGAGAGAGAGACCGGAAGCTGATTGACATTAATATCCTCAAGTCTATCACACCTGTACGTACACGCAGACGTGTAAAATCTGCTGGTGCAGTCGGCTCAGGGCGCTCTACATCGTGTGTGTTCCTGCCTGTAATGTGATTTTAATTGAGAAAGTGGTAAAAGTGGGAAGATGTGCTGCAGTGGGTCTTTAAGAGTTTTGTTTGGGATTTCCTACTTATTCATTCCACGACGTATATGTTTAACATTCCACGAGGCATATTTTTAACATCCCCACGAGGTATATAGTCCCATCATGTGCCCTCTGTGAGATGGTATACAAGTTCCGTCACCCCAACACACCACGATTTTCATGACATTTTTGTGATGTGGAGGTCAAACACAAGATGATTTTTTATTTATTTGTACCGTCTCATTTGTACCGTCCCGTTTTGTGCATTCTGTAAGCCCAAAGGTGTAACATCGTATTATTTTGATGCATCTCAAATTATGTGTATTTTTTTTATAATGTGTGTATCATGAGTGTTAAGAGTTCATTTTAACGAATTAATTGTTGCGTTAATGCACATTTAATACGTGTTGGCAGGGTTGACCAAGATTTATTTTTTAATGCCCATATTCATTTAATCAGGCCACCGTGCACGTGTACAGATTTCTAGTTACATTTTTTTCTCGGTGATTTTTAACATCGCGAGCGAAGTATATACCGGGTAGCCAGGAGGTGGCACTGCAACACCACAAACACAACGTGTGTGCCGTACTACCAAGCGTGACTGCCTCGATTGCATGGCTTTGCACCAGCTAGAAAAAACTACATTCTTGTTTTTTTTTTACTCTATCTATGTTATATGTGTTCTTGGCCAGTGCTTCAAATTTGACCCCTAGGATGGTCAGAAGTACATTGGGCCAATGCGAATCGATGACACACTGACGACAAGAGGTTTGGTATAAATGTGAAAATCTCCCTTGAGAGCAAAGTAGATTAGTGGCGACGCTGTGTGGTCTCCATAATAGAGGTTTTTTTGGGTTGGATCGCGTAAATTTATAAATGTGTCGTTAAAACCCGCCACCACCCGACACAGCCAACTAGTAAGGGTTGTCACTGTAAACAGAACGTGGCCAATTCGTCACGAGTACAGCACTAGTGTGTAGTGTAGTGTATAGTAGTGTAGTGTATAGTAGTGTAGTGTATAGTAGTGTAGTGTATAGTAGTGTAGTGTATTGTGTAGTGTATAGTGTAGTGTACTAGTACAGCACACCGGTGCGTTGGAGAGCCAAGCCACAACATTTACAATCTGAGTACGACGTTTCGCCAGTAATTACAACTAGCTTCATCAGGCGACAGCCAGATTTGTGGAGAAGGCTAACTGTTTCGTTCCTTATATAGAGGCGTAGATGTGGTGACCACACTTCTGTGCTCTTGCACCACGTGGGGGGGGCGGGGGAGGGATTACTGATGCAACGTACATTATGCATTATGCGAGCCCTGTGAACTTATCCTCCCTGTCTATTGTGTGTATTAAAATAGCCGTACCAACGGTAATCCCTATTGAAGTACGCTGCCCTTTGTAGGCATACATTTAAATAATGTCTTATTTGATGATTCGCTTCCACGCAGCACTAAGGCGGTAGCTGTATGAACCGGTAAAGTATTTTTTATTTCTTTAAATTTCGATAGATTATTTAATTAGTTTTGCACAGAACTTCAACATTATCAAAATCAATTGAGTGTCCTCGTTGGCACCGCGTGTTGTGCTACTGCTGACAGTTGTATTTGATCAATTGATTTTGGTACGTTACATTTCGTACGCATGCAGTTTATTTACACGCCTCTCCACGCCTCATTGTACATTCTTTAGTTTCCCATTGTCTTCGTCAATTGACCTTAATTCTGATGCATGTGGGTAAATGAACAAATCCAGGTTAAAGACGTCACACATACGCTGTTAAGAGAAGTGGACTTGGACGGTACGCGTCGATAGAAGGGGTAAAAATCGCGACGGTGGCACCTGAAAAATACATTTACGGCTGAGAGGACGTCCACCGGGGAGATGGAGCGATTAAATTGGCTCGCGTGCTGTTAGATTGTTACATCGCAAGACCACGAGAAAGGGTTGTTCGACTTGATGCCTTCACACAGCAGAGAATAGAGCTTGACTAATTATGATGATGATGGTGGGAAGCAAAGTATATGCTTCTCGACATTGAGGCTATTTGATGCAATAGTACTGAGAACAAGCATTGACCAAGTTCAAGTTCATTTATTAGGTATAGCCCTGTGAGCCATTCGGCTCTTGAATCGGGTGCAACCGCAACAAACAAAAAAACAAAAACATGAACAAAAAACATCTTAAAGTGAATATGTGACTAAGTGCAAACAGAAAATCCAAGAAAAGACAGCAAAATATTGCAGAAAAAAACACCGTACACCAATGCTGTGTGCAAAAATCCCAGTGGGATGCAAGTCAAACAACAACAACAACCATAAGACAACTTAGATTAAGGCCATCAGTCTAGCACGGGGAAGGATGGTCAAACAACCACCGTAACTGACTTGGCTTAGTCAGGCATTCATTCAGAAGGGGATTAAGAAAGGGTTGTAAATAAAATAAAACATTGGAAAGGTTCTGTTGAATGAAGAAGATACTCTTAAGAATTAAGAAATCAGGCTCTTGTGTATTTCACTTGATTGTCTTGGTAGTTTCAACTTTATGTAAATGTCTCATGACATTAATATGCAAAGGTTTCATTATGCTCAGAAAGAAAACCCACACATGGGATAAATCGATGGACCTATGCAATTAGAGTAGATCATAATTAAACCAATTTTAAAAAACACGGTCAGTGGTTAAACAATTTGAATGAACACGTCTGTCTAAAAATAGTCAATAAATGGGACTTGTGTATTTGCAAAAGCCATAAAATACGATATATGGCTCACTAAAGTGTGGACTGATATGCCTCCCAGAACTAATTAATGTTTACTGCACACAACAGGTTCCTCCGCAATTGATGAATGCACTCTCTAAACAGCAGGAATGGGTAGCTATAATAAAATCCAGATTTGCATGGTGTCACGATTATCATAAATCTTCATTGAAGAAATGACAGAGCGGTGAATGCTTTGCCACTTGCAGTCTTGTCTGCCGAGGTCTGGGTGCCGCGTTGCGCTGGCTTGTGTGCGCTTGTGTGTGCGTTGCCCGGGCTCTGCCGTGAGTCACAGGAACCATGTGCCTGTCCGATGTATTTTCGGGTCGTACCGCGTGTTGTCCAGAATGACGTACGACATTTTCACTGCCGTGTGCTTTCGGAACTGGTGTGTCCTTCCAGAACAAATTAAAGTAAGCTCCCAGCACGTGGAGAATAATGTCAGACCTCATGCCGAACAGCTCGCGCGGTGCAACCCGAAAGCATGTACTGCACAACCGCGAAAACCTACGAAGTAAAACTACGAACCATGTTTCCGTTCTGCGAGTGAATCGCGCAGCTTATATCGTCAAAAAACTAACAAAAGTGGTCGGGGAAAAGGGGGGAGATACTGTGAATATGCTCGATTTTTTTTTTAGTATTACCCTTCAAGGAAGGCCACCTGTTGCCTTTCTCTTCCGCTTACCCCTTTCTCTCCACTTTCTCCTTCATTTTATTTTGTGCCCGCTCTTTCCCTCCTGTCCCTGCTGTGTCCCCCCTTTCGGGCTTCCCCCCCCCGCCGGCACCCACCCCAGCCACAACCACCCTTGGATGTCGGGCGTCCGGAAACGGCTGCGAGGTTTTTTTCCCGTCAGGTATTCCCACACTTTCCCCATTGCTTGGCGTCGACCTGATCGCCTGGAATTCTTGCCCTGGCACCTCATTGCCCGCCTCTGAAATCCCCCCGCTGCCTTCTGTCGTGTGCCCCACTCGCTTTATATTCCCGCAGGGAACCGATGCTCGCTCACCCCTCCCCCTGCCGCCGCCTTGCCTGTATTCGGCCGGCAAAAAATGTGACGTGTTTGCTTTCTGTTTGAAACCAGTTGAGATGTCATTGATAACGCGTGGTGTCTTGTGCAAGGGAGGCCAGATCAAATCCCAGACAACACGTACGTAATGTAACACTTACCTGGTCAAGGCAAAATTGTAGCACACACATTCAAGTATCACTTTTATAAAGAGTAAATTATATCGTTGTAGTCTTCCTTCATATATTCAATATATATACGTGAATCCAGATATAAGATGCTGCCCCAACATCTCATTCCCTTAACCTGCAAAACAGTAATTGTAACAACTTCCCAGTACATATTGTGCGTGTGTCATCATTGTTCATATCTGGTGATGAAGGTCATCTTGCTTCGTGAACTATAGATACATTTCACGATACTGTATGCCATTACTCTATAAGGGTTGCCTGTCTCTGCTCACTTATTCTGACATGCGCACTTTTGGTTTGTGAAGAGCGAACAGCGAAAGGGGGGAATTCCGACTGACTTTTTTTGTTTAACACCTTAATCAATTGAGTCTCGGTTTTTCCAATTGACGGTTTCAAATTTCGTGGGTCGCTTGTTCAAGATGAGCGATTTAACATTCAGTTTAGACCACCAGGTTTTGCATTCCTTCATGGATCTGAACGTAAATCTTGACTTAAAGCTTTCGTGACTGCAGGAACTCATATTCTTGGGTCTTTTGGTAAAGTCACGTAGATAGGTTCAAAGAAAATAACAAAAAAAACTAGGACGTTTCGATCGCAACACAAGCGGTCGTCTTTTCGTAGTTTTTTGTTATTTTTTGTTATTTTCTTTGAACCTTTCTCCGTGACTTTACCGAAAGACCCAAGAATATGGATCTGAACGTGTATTTTGTTTGTACCAATGTCACATGGAGACACGTAATGTGTCAGCCTGTGACATTCCAACACGTTATCACGTGTGTCTGCAACTGCGTGGCTGGTGAATGCTACAGAAGCAGCAGACAGCATGATGTGTAAAGTGTAACCTGTCCTGAGTTCAATACGATCTGAACTAGCTTGTTTTGTCCGCGGGTAATATATGCTATAATACTGTAGAACTCGCATGTCTTTGCAAAACATCACAAACACAACTCTTTTACATACCAACACTCAATATTCTGCACAGCGTTGTTCTACCGTACACACTGTGAGATGTGTGGATGTTCACGCACGTTTCCTCCTCGTGTTCTTATTCCATAACCTGCAGCCCCGTCTCGAGGAATATAGTTTCATCCGCAAAGTTTCTCTGTGTTCCGGTAGCCGCATGCTTTGTGTCCGCTTTGCTCCGTTGGGCTTCCATCACTTTCAATGCACCCAAATTTGTTAACCTTCAAGATGCATCGAGTTGTTCGTTTCAATGGCTTCTGCGAGGTGGGATGTACACAATGCTCTGGGTGTGTTTTAGCGCTGTACTGCAGGATGCAGCAGCTGTGTTTGCGAGCACAAAATTAACACATTTTCACCCCCCATTGCAGTGAGGACAGTGACCTGGACCCATCACCTCCCGTGAGAGCTCTCCCATCACAACACGCCATCGTCAAGCCTTCCCCACAGGACTCGGGCATCCGTCGCTTGTAAGTTTATCATCATTATTGTCGTGACACTTGTTTACCCAGTACAGCCTCTCTGCGCCTCATTACTATCTTTAAGGAGGGTTCTTACAAAAATGTTTTTGCAGTCGACGGCGATGATCGCTGTGTAACAGCAATTCTTCGTTTAACGCGGTAGATGTGTTGACGAAAAGTGCCGCGTGAAGCAAAAACGCGCGGGGTGAAAAATAATTTCCCCAAAAGAAAAAAAACGGTGGGGATGTTGGCGGGGGGGGGGGAGTTGCAAGATGCGACGTACGCACACGAAGTAAGATGGTGAGGCGAAGAGCTGAGGTGAGGGTACGCCGTTCCGCGCTGTGGTCAATCCGCTCGTACACCCAGAATTCCCGTACCGATCGGCCGCACAGCTTGAGAAAAAGGTGGTCTAGATTTGAAGCTTTCGTGACTGCAAGGATTCATACTCTTAGGTTTTTTTTGGTAAGGTCACGTAGGTAAAAATATCTATTATTTTATTTAAATTTCTTAAATTTTTTGACCTATGTGACCTTACCGAAAAAACCTAAGAGTATAAAAAGGTGGTCGCTCGCCGATCGCTCAAAAACAGCGTCATAACGGGCGCATTCCGCTTTGTGTGGAAAGCCTTCGAGCGACAAAAAGACTCGTTGTGCGGAAATACGTTGAGCGAGGACTTTGGTGAAGATTCCAGCCGAGTGATTTGTGGGTAATTTTTCACACTTCGCAAGTTTGGACCGTGTCGCCGGTCACACAATGGCGCGCTCTTGCGAATGATTCTCGCATGATCTTTTAACGTCCATTTGGAAAAAGATGGCTTGTATTTTGATGGTTAATACACCCGAAGTATGAATGAAGAGAGGCCGCTGGATTCAAACCGTGAATATCTACAACAAGTGGCACACGTGCTACCATTAGGTCACATTCATTAATCTGTTCAATCTTTTGTTCGTATGTGTGTACGTTTGCATGCTCGTCTCGCTGGTTCATGCGGTGAGCCCAGGGCATTCAATGCAATCAGTGAGGTCTCGACTTCGTTATCAGTAGTTGAGGGATCAAGGTCAAGAGGTCACCATGATGGCCAGTGCCATAAATGTCACCCACACCTCGCCATCCCTTGCTGCTGCTTGTTCCCGTAGTTATTTTCAAGTCGACAGTTGACCCTCAAGGTCTGCTCTTCGACTACGCCAGCATCCGGCTGTCATTCTGTTAGAGCTCGACAGCATGTTTTACTGAATTTAACACGTAGGCTTTCGCGACCAATATTATTCGTATTATCAAATAAATACAATTACAATTCCTTATAAGGGAAACAAATACCAATGAATAACAATTGAATGATTACCAATCTATATAATTACGATACCCTCCCCCTCCTTGCCTCGAATCACTGCACCAGATTGAATTGAATTAAATGATGACGTCACCCGAATGCTGCTCTATTTAAGACCGGAAGCAACAGGAGAGCTTCACCATTTTTGCCCGATGAAGCTGATTGTAATTATCAGCGAAACGTTGTACTACTCAAATTTTAAAACGCTATTGATTCTCTCTTCAGCACACCGGTGGGCTAAAGAAGTCAATTAATTTGTCCTTTGAAAATGTGACACATTTTTTACTGTTTGGCCGTGTCGGGTGGTGGAGGGTTACGACACATTTATAAATAACGCGATCTGACCCAAAAACCTATATTATGAATGTTTTACTTAGTAAAGAGTTCCCACTTACCACTGCTTTATCCTTGGTTGGGCCTTACCATTAATCCATATTCTTCCTTGCATGTTTTACTTCCTCATTTCAGTAATCTTCCTGCCTTCTCAGCCCTGATTCCACAGCTGGAGACAGGGTCGATACAGCTATGGAGACAGTAGTTTAAAAACAAGTATTGTGAATGTCCATCTTGTTGTACTACCTACAGGCTAACATGGTATGAGTGACATGCACTGTATACCTACATTTGACTTCATATAGGCCAATGTTGCTTATATAGCCAGACCTTTTAAAGGCTTTAATTCAAAATATCAAGTTCTGTACATTCATTGTTAATTCATATAATAATTAAAATGCACTGAAATGCCACTCTCCTGTAAATCCCAATTACGAATGTGATGAAGTCTTGCACACAACTGACAAATTATTGACATCCATTGATATTGTAACAGGAGGAGGGATGAGGAGTGACGCTCGCCATCCCTAAAAGTAGTGTTTCATTTTAGAATGATAAATTCACGTACAAGTCGGCGGCACGTGTGCAGCGTTAGGGATTTTTCTTGTGCGTGCAATTTATTCAATAACCACCTGCCTGCGAATATCACCCCGCCACTCGGGGCAATCCAATCCTCGTGAATTGCAGCGCGTTAACGTTCAAGGGCGACTGCCGTTTCCAAACCGTGCCTTCTGTTATTACTATTAGAACATCTATTTATTATATTTATACTTTTTTTTTGTTCTGTTCTGTTCTGTTCAGGTTCAGTTTTTTCTACAAGGACCGTCCCGCGGGCATGAGGAAGCTGTCGGTGGAGTCGACGCGCCCCGGCGAGGCTCGGCACCCTGCGACGGCTCCCGAGCAGAGGCTGCCCAACGACGGGGAGGCAGCGGACGCGTCGGGCCTCACCGGCAGCACGGCCACCCTCAAGTCCATCAGCCTCAACCCGTAGCCCCCCCCCGCCCCGACGCGCGTACTACGGGGGGGTCAGGGGGTCGGCGGCGGTGTTTTGACGCAGAGGCTGCCGTTACAGGGTTAAGGGCCGAGATGTTCACCCTCTCAAGCGCTGCGGTATCGAGCGCGGCCGTCGATTTGTGCTACTTGGAGCCGCAGGCCGAGCATGTGCGTGGTTGAGAAAAAGCGCCTTGGATCAGGGAATGTGTTTCCTTGTTCGAAGCAGTTTTATTTTTTTATTTTCTGCTGTATGTATGTATGTACGTTCGTAAGTATGTTGTACTTATTTCACACCGTACGTAGCCAACCGTGCTTTTCGGAGGTACTGTGTTTCATCACTCTGGATGCAATTATTATTTGGCATGTCGTGGGGATACATACTTCTGCTAATTAATGTGGATATATGCACCTCAATGTCGTCGGCTGAAGTCCAGAGTGAGGCCACCGTTTCCTCATTCTGTTCAGCGTGCGTCCGCTTTCCTTAGCCGTCGCTAGCAGCAGCATTCGCTTTTGATGAAAATTAGAATCGCGTTAGCTTTGCTTTTGTTTTTTAAATATTTCTACGGACTGCTGTGCACATCTTGAGACTTTGTGCAAGGTCAACAATTGAGTGTTGCTTGTTACTGCAAAACTCAGTTTTTCTTCATTTAAAGCGAGAGAGAGCCCTGGCGATTATAGCTTCTTCGAGTGAAAGTCCCATGGGTTCATGAATGAAAAAAGGAAATTTTTACATAATCATGATGGAGCTGGGAATTTAAGTATTAAATAGATCATGTATTTCACCTGTTAAGGCATTGCTGCTTAAAAGTCAACTCGTGTTAAATAGTTGTTTTTAGTAGGTTTGTTTATCTGGGTCAAGTAGCACAAAACCACCCTCACACTTAAATACGTTTTACTTCATCGCATTTTAATAAGCACAAGTGACTTTTAATTTATATGTGGTGTATTACAAATGGGTTAGAGTTCATGTATAATACCACAGTTTTTGCTCATTGGGTATGAAAATGTGCAAGGAATGCTTTGTTTTCTTGTTTATAACGCGCGCATGACATACCGGGTCATGTTTGCAGCACTCCAAAGCAATAGTATTTTAGCGTCAAATCGTATTAAATCTTTGATTGCTTGACGAGGAATCGTCAAAAAAAAGTCTCGGTGACTTACGATGCACTGTAGCCAAATATCACACAGCCTACAGAGGAAGACTTCAACCGGTGGCAGCGGAGAGAAAAATATTAGGTGGGCGAGCATGGCTGTTACTGCCATGTAAGGCGAAAAGGGGTAGGAAGTGGAATATGTTGTTAATCCACTGCTGCGTGAAGGCCTCCACAATCTCCCACCATCTCTCGCGAGCCTGCGATTTAAACCTTTAACTTTTGCTATTGTTGCACTTTTTGATTGTCTTAACGACTGGGTGAATATATTTATAACACTTCTACTTTTGTCAATCCAAAGCGTAGATGAGGGCCTCCCCATGCCTACTTTGGTCGTGGGATTTTTGACTTTACTTCACACTGGTCAATGTGGGTCGGTGCAGGGGGGGGGGGGGGGCGGCCAGGATTGGTCCAGACATTTCCCCACCGCCGGTTATTAACCTTGCCCGGCAATCGAATTAAAGGTCGCCAGTTTGGGTAGTGCGTCTCGCTAACCACCGCGCACCACCGCTCTCACAAGCAGACATTCATTAGCATCTGCAGAAGTGGTGATTTGTTTGACTCGAGAGCACATTGCCTTAGAACCCGTTTAAGGGAGGCAACTCAATCTCGGCAGTAGTGTGGGGGTGAGGCACGGTGGATTGACGAAGGGGTGCCAATGAAATTTAACCTGCCTGGGCTCGAATAAGACACCCTGCTAATACTGACCAGGGGCATCCGCCGTGAAGGCTGCTCTCTGCTTCACGTGATCTTTTGAGAGAGAGAGGGGGAGAGGTGCCGGCGACACAGTCCCCATTCGTCACTTGCGCCGCGCGCGTCACGGGGTCCGTCGCACGCTGGGGCTGCGCACTGCCTCTGCTCCAGAAGTCGCAACCAGGTACCCGATACCCGTACCCTACCCGATACCCGGCCACCCGTACCCAGCCGGGTACGGGTAGCCGTTTGCGACCCTGGTGCGGCCGGGTACGGGTAGGCCGTGAGTTACTGGTGAGTAACCGTTTGTCACTCATTTCCCAACGTCTTGTCTCTTCTCACAATTCAAGATCCTAGAATCAACCCACCCACGCCTGCAACATGGCTTCATCCCAGAGGTCGCAATCGGGTACCCGTACCCGTACCCTACCCGATACCCGGCCGGGTACGGGTAGCCGGGTATCGGGTAGGGTACGGGTACCTGTTTTCGACCCTGGTGTGGCCGGGTACGGGTAAGGAATCAAAACCCGTTTGCGACCTCTGCTCTGCTCAAGCTGCGGCCAGTGGCCGGGTGATGAGACCGCGCGGGAAAGGCGTTACTCCATCCCACATGACGACTTCACATGACGACATCTCTCTTCTGCCCCGGTAGCACACGGATAGGAGCACTCCGCTCCTCGTTGCTCGACAATGCAAAGCAGTCGAGGTTGTTTTATATTTCAATTCTTGTTGGTTTGAATCTGGCCACAACCGATTATTCAGCGACCAGTACATAATCTCATGATTTCGTTTTCAAGTGCCCTTGCTTTCACAATACTTGTGTGTGGAGCACCCTGAAGCCAGCCTACAATGATTATCATCATGGCAAGTGTTAAATACTTAGTAATAGGTTTTTACCCTTTCAACTGGTACAAAAACTGACACCTTTATACAAGGCATCATGTTTGCAATAACCACAACACAAGCAGTCAAAATGCAAACAAAAAGAAACAACTCTGATGATGATAATGATATGCACTGTCCTTGAAGTTGATTGGTCCACACCCGAGACAGCTTTTCTTAGAGCCTAGTCTCCATTGGTGTTGGACCAGATGACGCCAAAAGGCGTGCAACTCAAACACAGTGCACTATCAGAGTATTGAGAGCTCAGGGTAAGCATAAAGGTGTCAGTTTTTGTACCAGTTGAAAGGGTAAAAACCTATTACTATATTTTGCCATTGGTAAAGGAGGTCTCCTAGTGTTAAATACTTCTTCAGTTGCATATAGCTTGTGTTGGATAACATTGGGCAGTCTTATCAATGTGTCCATTGGTGCATCTTCACCGATGCTATTTCATCAATTCTGACCATCACATGCCATCTGTGCTGCCAGATTCTCATTTGAATGCAGTGATATGCAGTACCATGGAATTTGGATTTATAGAGAATTTAAACGCCGCTGCATCTCAACATGCTGTACGAAATAGTGGGATGCGTGTCGCAGTGACCATAGAAACGGGGAGGAACGTGAACGCATTGGCGGTACACCGTTGGTGCGCGGTATTAAAAAAAAAATCGCAATTTTTTCGCGATCATTTATTTTCCGGTGAGAAAATCTTGCGGGGTGGTGGTGCTGGTGGTGGTAGTGCGTCAAAGTCGGTTTTCGTAATGTCGAAGCAGTCGTAAGACGGACATTATGAGCGGCCGAACACGAAGCTTCGCAGTCTGTTGCCGTAGAGCAGCACCCAGCCTGATGACGATTGGCTGCCTCCGTGTTCCAAAGGCCAAGATTTGAATCCTCGTTCCCGAGACTTGGTCGGTCGGTTCCTCGATTAATTTCTCGGAATCATTGGAGGACAGTGGCATCGATAGTTTACGACTCGTGTCACACGTTCGACAGGGAACGCAGCTGCTGAATCTAAGGCAACTGCTGATGGATAATCTGCAGCTCACTCGAGGGCAATGCTGTACCGGTGTACCGCTAATACGTCCATATGTTATTAAGGAATGATGTAAATATAGACACTTCTTAGATATTCTATGGGTCTTTCGGTAAAGCCACGTAGATATAACAATATCACGACGTTTCGATCGCAACACAAGCAATCGTCTTCAGGTGAGAGAGAGAGAGCTGCTGAGACAAGGTCTTATATAGGCCTGAGATGGGTGCATCAAGGTAGGTGGGTGGAGCTAGAGATGGTCCAACCACAGAGGCTGGGGCAGTGGCCCCAGTATTGTGAGAGATTAGCATGTCAGTCATGGGCAGAAGAGAAGAGTAAGGTTTTCAGCCTGGATTGGAACGGGCAGGGAGATAACAGCATGAATGGCCATGCCGTGTTGTGGAATTTGACACAACTTGGGGCAGCAGCAGTAGTAGCAGCAGAGAAGCAGTAACCTCCCACCGAGTGGAAGTTGTCGGAGGTTTTTTGAGAGGTGTGGTGCTGGTTGTGCAGGGCCTGCGGAGCTAATTAGCTCGCAGGAGTCTACGCCGATCTTAATGTACGCAAAGCTCTAAATATATTAATGAGATGTGTTTCTTTGTAATCAAAAATGCATTTGTAGGATTGTGTTTTGTTGTAAGCATTGAGATGCATCTTTGTGATAACATAAAATTGTGTTGATTTGAAGCTTTCGTGACTGCAGGAATCCTTACTCATTGGTTATTTCGGTAAAGTCACGTAGGTACCGAAAGAACCAAAGAGTATATGTATAAAATTACGTGTTTTAAGGGTGACATTTATTTTTCATAGCATATGCAGAATTGTGACGATAGATGTGCAGTTTCAGTCATGAAATTGGCTGAGTGAGAGCTATTTGGTGGAATCAAGTGGGAATTAAATTACTACAAATTCAAATGCGTTTTGAGGCCAAAAGTTTTAGGTCGGCTATTTTAGAAGCACTGGTTATATAAACCCAATTTAATAACTTTTTCAGCGCGGATGAGCAACTTCTGGGCGAAGACTTCTGAGTTGGGGGATGTTATCTACACTCAGTGATGAAATGCATGGGCACCAATTGATTATTATGCATAGCCATTTCCTTGAATACCAAAAGTCATCATGTTGTAGGGATTGATGTTAACGGTCTTGTTATGACTTGCAGTCAGCAGGCCTAACCCCCTATTTCAATGGAGATGATTTAAGTTCCCCTTGCAACTCCTGTATCATGTTAAAGTACTGAACGTACAATTGTACAAGTTTACAAATGTATTGAAAACATGCTGACAATAGGTGGGCAGTGGACACACGTGGTGTGTTACATCGCAAAGCATCCGAGGGAGTTCAAGAAGATGCTTTGCAGCAAATCGTTTGTGTACATTTCTGACCACGTGCCATTGTGCAATGAATCAAGTGCACTTTGGCAGAATGGTTACAATACTGATAACTAGTATTAGTTATCTGCAGTACAGTACATTTTCTTTTGGCATGGAAACACCAGGTGACCAGGAGCGTAAATCATGCAGTGGGCCACGTGCTTTCTGAACGCGCAACCGATTGTTTTCAATGGGTGACTATAGTTACGTGAAGACTGACATTCATGGATTACTTGTGAATCGGATCATTGAGACGCTGTTGCTCCCTTGTTCATCACCAAACTAGTGACGTGTCATCTTCTTGGTTCTTTCGGTAAAGTCACGTAGAATGGAAATAATAAGTAGCCGTCCTCAGGTGGAGAACAGGTATATCGAGAAGACAGACCTGTTCTCCACCTGAGGACGGCTGCTTGCGTTGTGGCCGAAACGTCGTGAGAATTATTTTATTATGTTTTATTTTTACAATTTTATTATTTCCATTCTACGTGACTTTACCGAAAGAACCAAGAAGATGAATCCCTGCAGTCACGAAAGCTTTAAATCGAAATTTAGTGACGTGTCTTCATATGATGAGTGCGCGAGAGGCACGGAGAGTCGAATGTTCCAGCAGACTACCCGTTTGAAATACGAAAGCACAATTTGTGTGGTGATAATTCCACATTCCAACTTGTTCTAATGCAGTCTGAAAGAAAAAAAAACATTTCAAATTTGCCTCGTGTACACCAAAAGTTTTAATCCACCGCGCGTGAAAAGGAAACCCACTCGTCTGTGTCTGGTGTCTCCACAACAATCCATGTACTAAATGATAAAGTGGATAGATAACGATAATAACGACGATAACGACGGAACACCCACTTGACAGCAAGAGAAGTCATTTTGGAAGAACAGAATATTGTTTCGCGCGGTAAATTTTGTTGCCGAATATGATATGACCCAATGTGAGATTGCTCACTATATATAAAAACATTTTAGTTGTGCATTATGGAGAAATACAATTTTAAGAAACACTTTTTTGGTATTTTCCTTACACAAAGAAGTGAAGATACAGGGTGGTCTTCTTGGTTCTTTCGGTAAAGTCACGTAGAAGGGAAATAATAAAATAAATAGACATAATAAAATAATTCTCAAGAACAGGTCTGTCGGAAAGACAGCGTCTGTCGGAAAGACAGCGTCAGACGCTGTCTTCACATGAGGACGGCTGCTTGCGTTGTGGCCGAAACGTCGTGAGAATTATTTTATTATGTTTTTTTTATTTTATTACTATTTTATTATTTCCCTTCTACATGACTTTACCGAAAGAACCAAGAAGATGAATCCCTGCAGTCACGAAAGCTTTAAATCGAAATACAGGGTGGTCTTACAGGGTGGTGCCTGCTGTCAGTGCAACTGCGATGCCAAAACCAATTTGACCGTCGAGCTCGCTGAAATTTGACGGGGCACATCGCACACGACTCGGTCTCGTTGGCTGACTTGTATCAGAGGTTGATTGGAATGTATTCATAGCTCTCATTAATGTGCGAGCTTTGAATAGACTAGGACTCATTTGGGTGACTCGTATCAAAGCTTGATTGGAATATATTCATAGCTCTCGGGCATGTGAATAATTACATTTATTCACCCAGGAAGGCCTTGCTGATTATCCATTGTTACTTTTTCAACTGGATCCAGTTTTATCAGTTACATTTCAAGAGTATTTTACATGTGGTGGGGGGGTGGGGAGATAATTATTTGGCATAGAAAACCCACAATGAGGAGGAATAACAATCAAAGGTCTGCACAGATAGGTTCATGAAACCACTCGCTTGTACCACCATCTTTAGGCCACCTCGTAGCCCAAGGGGTTCTGGGAGGATGATCCATCAATCCTTGCCTCCAAAAGCACGTGGTACCACCGCATCTGGCTTAAATTACATAACGTAACAATGATGCCTCGTACGATGGGTGTTAATGTCTGATTGGCTTCCTCTTACGTCCTGATATGTGATCGTTGCTTGGATCACACGTGTCGAAAGTGCGATAGGCTCTCATAAGCTGTGGTATCTGGATCTCACAAGATTGATGTATCCAGCTGCATAATGATTTGCCCTCTTTTCATACATTTTGCTCTAGTTATGGAGCTTCAGATACACGCGTTTTAAAGTCTATCCAGCCTTTAACAATCTTTAGCTAATCGGGATCTAACGTATAATCGTGGATGAATGTAAATGCAATGGTGATTTCATGTTCTGGGGCCGAGTGAATTGTAGGAGTGATCAGAAGTGCATGCTGCTTTTGTCATGGACACCTCGTTGAAGAACAAAATCTTGCGTCTACAATTTAAAATGCTTTGGGGTTCAAATAATATTTTTTTATTATTATTATTAAAACATTAGGGTAAATCATTTGGGGGAAAATGTTTTAATATTTGGTTATGTTGGGTCAGAACATGTTTCTAAAAGTCTACAGCGCAAGTCTACAATTTACATTTACACCACATCGTTAAGGTATATGTGTGCTATGCAAAGTATACAAATTTTATACTTTCAGTAAAACAAAAGTAAGATGCTGTGCACCTTCTGACCCAACGATGCCATTGGCTAGGTTGCAAAGGCCATCTCTCCCACTAGTATACACATTTTCTACTTTCAGTAAAACAAAAGTAAGATGCTGTGGACCTTCTGACCCAACGATGCCATTGGCTAGGTTGCAAAGGCCATCTCTCCCACTTACAGTCATTTATTTATTGCTCAGGGGTTGCGATGACGGGGAGATCACGCTGGCCGTCGCAGCTGTTGTGTGTTCCCTTCAACCTGCTTTGTGCAGAGCCAAACTGAAAGGAGACGATCGCACATCACTGACCTGGCGATCGTATACATATTACACTTCACGTTTGAAACTGACAACATAAAGTCTATTCTTGGTTCTTTCCGTAAAGTCACGTAGAAGGGAAACAATCAAATAATAAAAATATAAAACAATAAAATTATCTGGATTTCACACCTGATGATGATTGCTTGTGTTGCAGTCGAAACGTCGTATACATTTTATTGTTTTATATTTTTATTATTTTATTGTTTCCCTTCTACGTGACTTTACCGAAAGAACCAAGATTATGAATCCCTGCAGTCACGAAAGCTTTAAATCAAAACATAAAGTATCTTACGTGATAACAAAAAACAAGGGCTGTAAATATGCACATCAGATAAAGAACATAAACAATTGTTCCATTCTTGCCATCCTAGGAACATGGCTCTTAAGACACGTTTGAATTTATGCAAGAGTGGGAGAGTGCTCTTTAACTCGATGTCTTGATTGCCGTTTCATCCTCCACTGACTCTCTCGTCCTCATCTTTAAACACAATGACCGACGCATATTGGATCGAGGTAAAGTCGAGCGCTGGTCTGCATACCCAAGTTGCTTATTGAGAAGCATGGTCCTGTACCAGTGCTGTCTCTTTAGTATTCATTTGGCGACGTGGAATGTATAGTGCCAAGGAGCAGCCAGGCCCTCTAAAACCCATACAACTAATCTCGTGGGCTTTCTCCTGCTGTACATCACATTTAACCGAGGATGCTCAGAATACCAAGCACAGTTGTAGCTAGATCAGAGCAGGCAGATACCCCAGAATGGCTATGAATTTAAGCGTTGCCTTTTGTTGATGAAAGAGGATTTTTTTTTAAATGTGTAAATCATGTTAAAATACACGTTTATAAACACGAGTGTAATCTTGATTTGAAACATCAGTTTTACAATTTTAGGTAGCAGTATTGGTTAAACTGAATCATGCCATCAATATGAATTGCATCTGAATATGGTTATTGATAGAAACAACTTGCTAAGGCAGGATTTTATATTAAATATACAGTGATGTTTAGCCTAAATCAAAATTACAAATTAACAGTTTATATAGCAGCAGCATTCAACTGAACAGAACCCATTAAGATTCGAATTATGTTTTCGTAAGCCTTTCCTGCTGCCAGACTATAAAAATTTCACAGTTTTTGAAAAAGATAAATGCCTGATTAATTCATACATGTATGAGCAACATGCCCCCGGTAAGATAAGGAGTTTCAGGTGCAGTTCACTGGGTTTAAACGCCCGCGGAACCCAGCCTCCTACGAATTCTGTATGCACCTGGGGCACGATACACTTATTTGCAGTGGAAATGGAAGAATTCCGAAATGTGTCAACACAACTGCACTCTCACCCCCTCCTGTTTCAAACGGTTGCCATGCAAAGTGTCTATCGTGCAACTCAGATCCTGGAGTAGAATCCAAGCAGCAACTCATTGCTTGAACTGGAGTATAGAGTGTAGCGGGTTGATGGTCTAAAGGCTGGTCACCGAGAGAAAATATTGCTTCTGTCGTACGATGAACAACCTCATGGTGGCACGTTGTGCAACTGCGACTCCCACTTTTCGAAAGACCACTTGAGGGATTGGCAAACGTCCCGTGGAACATCACTTTAACAGTCTCGACGGCTTGAAGCACAGAGATGCACTTGCTCATGTGAGAATGTTTAATTGGATGTATTTGATCTTCGAGACAATATGCCGAAAGTGCAGTTGGATTAAACCGGGGGAAATAATAAGACCGGGGTAATATGTTTTTGAAGCTTGTCCCATCGGCATGGTACCAGAGGCTGTCAGTACGATGGTTGATATTCTGTTCGTAATTTGAGAAGGCACAATAGGATGAACAGCAAAGACCACGTGGTCAAAAGTGTCGAGGCAATGAGGCCACGCAGCTTTTACAAACCACTCGGTGATGTGTAATGGGAGGTAATTGTCACGCTTTAGCTGTTGATGCCAGAAGAACCCGTCACTGTCTGAGAACTTGGAACATTGAATCCTCTTTTTCCATTGCCTATTTTGAATTGAGCTCCTTTGTCCGCAGCCGTGGAGGCAAAACTCCTTTAGTGGCTGCTTAACAGCGTAGAGTTTGAACGGGTCTCCGTTATCGCTGGCATTTGTCCTGTTTGCTGCCAGTGTCGTCTGTGATCTGCTGCAGCCAGTGCTGATTACTATTCTGTTTGTTTCTGTGCAGGAAGTCCTCAACTTACGAACGCCTGACTTACGAACACCCTCACTTACGAACCAGCTTCTGTGAAATATATATTTTTTAAACATTCACTCTCGATTGGCAAATCGAACCGCGGCTCTGGTTTGTTCAGCTGAGCGATGCTCCGCTGATACGTCGATGAGTCGGCCTCGTGCTGGGTGTGCGAGTGTGTGTGTGCATTTAAATATACAGTAAATTACTGTGTTCCGACTTATGAACAGTTCGATTTACGGACGGGTCTCGGGAACGAGTTGTGTCCGTAAGTCGAGGACTGCCTGTGAACGGGGGGTACTGCTTGTGCTTTCTTCTATACACGGCAGTGCTTCAAGGCCTTCGTGTTGCGTTGCTCGCGTTCAGCGTCAACTCGGCCAATGTTTCTACTTGGTACGTAAGCGCAGTAGAATGTGTTCATGAATGCGGTCTTTATTACTGCTAATCCTACTTCCTCCCTTTATGACTGCTAATCCTTCATAATACACGAGCATAATATGAATTTGAGACCTCCCCACCACCTACACATTCTACAAGTAGTGACTAATCCCATATCTACATTTTCCATAAATATGCATAATTATTCTGTTGATATGTAAATTCCTTTGTCAAGGCGCTCTCCTCTAACCCAGCTTATATATTCGCTGCCAAGCTTGGCGGTGTTCATTCGGACGCTGTCTTTCCGACAGACCTGTTCTTCACCTGAGGACGGCTGCTTGCGTTGTGGCCGAACTGTCGTGAGAATTGTATTTTATTGTTTTATTTTTATTATTTCCCTTCTACGTGACTTTACCGAAAGAACCAAGAACATAATGAGTTCTGTTTCATTTGCTTCAGCAAGAACAAGCAGCATTTTCGTTTGACGTTAAATGTCGCCTGTGGATATTTCGCCGCATCCACTTTTGAGCACTCCTGATCAAAGTATACACGGATTGTGTCGGGGTTTATTATTACATAAAATCGGTAACAGTGTTGGGGTGTATGGCTGTTTATACTGTAATCCTTGAGACAAAGATGTTAATGTCCGTTTTTATGGAAATAAGTGTTCGCCTCCAACGTATGAAGTATGTGAATCTCAGAAATCCCATCAACATAAGTGTCGCAGAGTGTGTGTGCCGCGTAAAACAAATGCCAGTGCATCGATTGAAAGTACATATTTCCTGAAGTAGTAATCAGATTTATGCGAGTAGTGAGGAGGACATTTAGTTTGGACAAGGTTTGGTAGTGCCTGGAAGGTGTGAGTTGCATTGTGCCAGAGGAAGTGGACTTTGTCCACAAATGTTGCCTTTTCTGTAGCTAAAGGAGAGACGAATTAGAAGAGTAAAACCTCTTTAAAAGGGAATGTATGTGCTCGCTTTGATATCTGCCACCATTGGTTTAAATACAGTATTGACATTTCTTGACCGTTGGATTTCAGGGCAATTACTCAACAAGTTGGAAAATGTTTTTTTTCTTCTTACCTGCCGGTAATTTTGTTTATTACCAAATAGCTGCAGGTCTGGATTACGAATTCGAATGTGTGAGAGTGTAACATTAGCAGTCCGTTGTAAACATTTGGTTTTTTTTTGGGTGGGGGGGGGGCGGAAATTATCTGAAGTGAAGACCGCTTTAAAATGTTGTTGTTGTTGTTGTTCTCCCATGCACTTTGTAACGATAAAACAAATAGCCGTGGAAGTGAAGAGAAGTAAGAGAGAGCTCATCAAGTGGCGAGGACTTGTGCGTTCACGTTGTAAGCAAAGATGCCAGTTTTACCAAGTACAGGAGGGAACACTTCTCGTTAAACACCCTCCCCCCCCTCCTCGTTCATCCACGCGGTAACCTGTGGGTTATATTGCAATAAAGATGGTCACCGTACGAATAAAACGATGATACCCGTGTCTTGTGACCCGTCGATTCTACACTGGTACAAAGAGAAAGAGAGAGAAACACCTCCAAATCTTGATTTGAAGCTTTCGTGACTGCAGGAATCCATACTCTTTGGTTCTTTCGGTAACGTCACGTCGGTAGAAACATACTAGATCACGACGTTTTGATCGCAACACAAGCAATTGTCATCAGGTGGGACAACCACAGCAGTTTTTTCTTGCAATTTTTTCTTGCAGTTTTTTCTTGCTATTTTTTCTTGCAGTTTTTTTTACTGTTTTTTCTTGCTATTTTTTCTTGCTATTTTTTCTTGCTATTTTTTCTTTCTGTTTTTTTTTTTACTATTTTTTCTTGCTATTTTTTCTTGCTATTTTTTTCTTGCAGTTTTTTCTTGCTATTTTTTCTTGCTATTTTTTCTTGCTATTTTTTCCTGCTGTGGTTGCCCCACCTGATGACGATTGCTTGTGTTGCGATCGGAACGTCGTGATCTATTATTTTTCTACCCACGTGACTTTACCGAAAGAACCAACGAGTATGAAAACGTCTCAACCTTTCCAGCGATGTGAGAGAGATGGGGGAGGTGGGGGTGGTGGGGGGAGGACACAGGATCGCTTGTTCCCCCCGTCACCCCCGCCCCTCCGCCTTGGATCGCCCCGCACCTTGATGGACCAATCGGCGTCGTTCGTGTGTCCCCTTTGTGACGTCACCGATTAGGGACGCGTCACACCCCGCTCACGCAACAGGTGTCTCTTCAGTTGTCGCATGGCGACAGTGACGAAATCAAAGCATTGTAGCTTTGTGTTAAAATTATTATTTCTGTTATGAATTTGATTTTGTTTGCATAGCGTCTGGAGGATCCTAGGACAGCAACGATCTTACCATTAATTTGACACTTTTATCCCTGAGCAAGATGGGGAGCCAAAGCTTCAACAAAGGAGTATTTGTATTGATTGCAGTCTAGGACTGCCAACCTCAGGTGTTCACGATCACTGCTGGACATACCTCGGACCAGATCACTCAACAATCGGTTGTAGTGCTC